AATTTCTTTTAATCTTAATTCAATGTGCCTTGCAAAAAAAAAAAAATGTGCATTTTGTATCTTACTTTTTTAGAAACAAATCCTGCAAGTTTGGAAAGCCCTTATACAAAACTTCTCGTTTTGCAGAAAATAAAGTTAGCCCCTGTGATGACTGGCTGTATTGCTCCCCAAAGTCCCGACTAAAGCGTTTCATGCGACTCTGTAGTGTTCTGCCGAGGTCGGGTCCGAGCCGGCTTTTCGAAGAAAGCTCCACTTGTTTTGTTGCTGATGCATAAAATCGTGTGTATATGACATTGACACCCTGCAGATGAAAAATAATGCACTCTGAACATGCCTAGTATCCACAAGAGCTCAGGGACGCAAAAATGCGTGTAGCACACGAAACGAAACATGCCAACGGGCACCTTTGGATAATCCAAGCTAGTTCGACCCACTACCACTCTAAAAACTAAAATCCAATGAATGCGCATCATCTGACTCATTGTTGCCACTTTCACCGACACAATTGATTGCATATGCACGTAAGTCGAGGATGTTTTTGAGGAACGTCGGCGCGCGACGAGGACGCCACGCTTGATGCAATCGCTCAGGATCCTGGATCTTTAAACCCCTTTAAGACTTATAAACCGACGACCAGTTCGCGCTTTCCACTTTTCCCTCCTTCCTCCTCTCACCTCTTCTAACCTGCCTGCCATTGCCTGTTTTCTTCTCCCCCATGGTGAGGAGGATCTTCTGCCTTGCAGAAGCTCGAGTCTGGTCATCGGCCTTTAAGTGACACTTTTTAAAAAAAAATTTAAGTAACCTATAAATGAAATATTTTTTTATTGGTGAGTTTTATTCCTCTAGTATCACAGGTAGACTTTCAAAAGTTTATTATGAAAAAATCATATTTTTGGTAGGCACATGAACCTTCTAACAGTTCTGCCTATGTACAAAGCATCTTGCATTTCTGCATACATGTTAAGCATCTTCTTGGGTTGAGTGTAAAGAAAAACAGTAAATTTAGACAGTCCTGTTGATGTTTTTGCTTTAAAAACACAAAGTACGGTGCAGCCGTCTTCTTTGAGGTTGCGGACTGTGTGGAATCGCCGCCACCATCCGAATCATTGTCGTTGTCGTCGTCATTGGATTCACTTGAAGAGCTGAGTTCAGCAACAAAGTCATCATCGTTTTCACTTGACAAACAACTCAACTTCCAAGTCACTCAAGCTCTCATCAGTGATCACTTCTTTTTTTTTTTCTCAATGAAGTTTTGTGCGCTCTGCTAGCTAGTGACTACATTTTTGAATGACTGTTGCCAGAGTACCTTCTCATTTATCCAACGGCAGCAAAAAAAGAACTAAGACGAGTGCTGCCATCTATGATCAGCGCCGCAAACCACTCGGGCGAGCTACTCTCGTCCGTGGAATTGAGGGCTACCGAAAAATCCACTGTACGAGCTGGGCTCGTCCGCGGCATTTTTAACCAGAAAGCCGCCGATGAGCTCAGCTCGTCCAAGACAAGTCTTGCGGAAAAGCGGAAATTGAAACCGAAACCCAAAGTGTATTTCCTATGTAACATCCTAGACAGCACCATGCATCCAAAAACGGCACTGAATGTGTTGAAATGGGGTTTTTAAATCCACCGATTAAATTGATTGATTTGAATAGGCGCGGTAAGGAAAGAAGTTGGCGCCTTGCCAGTTAAGCACATACATGGTGTTGTGTTTGTCCTTGGCTAGTCATGATCTTAGGGGGGGGGATTCATTGCGTGACCAAGGGCTTAGAAGGGTTACGACACAAAATTTTGAGCGATTTTTCTTGATAGAGATCCATATAGACTACTTGATATACACACAAATTCATGATTTTTAGGGCCTTAGCAATTACAACTATGAATTTAGGAAGTTTTATATTTCCCGTTTTTGTGCCAGGCAATTGTGAGAGAGAACTGAGCAAATTGGACAGTGGCCCAGCCTAGAGCACTGTATGGGCCTACTTTTTATTGCCTGGCCCAGCTCGGGCCCGCTGACGCTTAGTCTTACCCGACCCGATCCCGGCCCGATGGGATGCCTACCTGATCAGGTCTGGTTCGGGCCCGGCCTGGTGAGAGGCCGAGGCGTGCCTCATCTCTTAAATTCAAAGCTGCCCTGGTAAGGTGTTTGTGCAATTGTTTCGTTTGACCTAATTTGCATTAAAGATACTGTCAAGACGTTATGTATCGGCATAAAAATGAGAATGTCAGCATAGAGATTTTAATAGCACTTGTCTAAAAGATAAAAAAAAGTTTTGAAGAGCATATACAAGTTGCAGATTCTACGGAGTTCAGTATGAACTGAAGTCACGATGGATTGAAGATGTTCAGTATTTATGTGTTCGTCGTTGCAAGTTTGCAATTCAACTTTTTCGTTTCTTTCAAACCTAAGCGATCATTGCATAAGCATTTAGTCGTAGTGTTTTACAAAATGTGCTACGCCATTGTTCGAGCCCGGCCCGGCCGGGTAGCATGGATTGTTTCTGGGCCCGGGCCGGGCTCGAACAATGGTGTAGCACATTTTGTAGAACGTCGAAGGATTAAAAATTTTTTTTTTTAATCCTTGTGGCTTTAGTCCATACTGGACTCCGTAGAATATGCAACTTGTATATGCTCTTCAAAACTTTTCTTAATCTTTTGAATGGGGTTGGCCCGGCCCTGTGCAGAGCTCTATCTAGCCCAGCCCACCCTACCTGGTCTCTATGCCCCTCCCCAGTAATGGAAGTGCTGTGCCATTTGCACCAAATTGCGATATGAAGGAAAGTCTACTACATCTTGCGCCAAAATGCCATTTTTGCTATGGATTGCACCAAACCTGTGCCGAGATGGATTGACGCAAAGCAAAACATAAAAATATTTTATTATTGGTCGACTCTAATATTGAGAGAAGTAGGAACAAAGGAAAGTGGTACAAAGCGGTGCCCTTGTTACACTATGTAACAAGGGCGCCGCCATCTTGAAATATCATCGCTTCCAGTATGGGCGAAAACACTTTTGCTGTCGCCGCGCCAATGGAATGTATTTAGGATATAAGTGTAATCGTCACCCATTCTTCCTTTGTCTCCCCTTAAATTTTTTTACTATTTGCAAGTTGAAATGTTTTATTTTTTCGTCGCCCATACCGGTATGCCTTCCAGGTGGCTGGGGACGAGAATAAGCGAAAAAGGTCTATATATATTTCACAGCGTCTCTACTCGCCTACCCACTGTACAGTTTGTTTCATCTTACTTAGGTCAGAGCACACTCAAAGACTCTGACACATTCAACTGCGAACACACATACTAAAAGCGCAAGTCGCAAGGCATTTGTGTACTTGAGTGCTTTAGTCAATTGAAGAACATGCACAGGAAGATGGACGAATGCCATGATGTCGCACTTTGACGTTGTTTGGTTGGTCCCATTGGCTTGTGGTTGCGGCTGCACTTTGAATTAAGGTGAAAAAAGGTTTTATAGAGATTGCTCCTCAACCACGCTGGTCGGTTGATGCGCTGGCAGGTTGATCGCCCACATTGTCTAAATTTCCAGACGATGTCGGCAATGTCAGGAGCAAAAAGTCGTGAAAAAAAATTGCAAAATAGTAAGATAACTGCTACTCTGATATGATAGAACCCCAGGGTCTTGTACCCCTGATGATATCACTTGATTATCATGTCTGCCGTATGACTTCGTGCCGCCTCTCACCAGCTCGCGCGTCCAGCTTTACTGCTTTGCACCTGAGTTCTAGGAGCAGTGGCTGACATGGGTGAGCGCCTGGGTTAATGCGATAGGCTCGGAAATGATGCTCAGAACTGTTCCAGGTCTACCTTCTTTGGTCTTGATTTTAGGTTGATCTTGGAAAGGGGGGCGATGAAGGCAAATTTGTGTTGATATACATGCCAGAACTGAAATGCTGGTTTTTGCCGTCATTTTACGGTATTCTATTTACACGCTAAATAAACTACCGGGTGTAAAAATGGGAGGGGAGAGAGGTTTTATCCCAACTGAGGTGCTGCGCTAATTATTTTTTCAACAATTTTTTGAGTGCCCATTTTGAATGGAACCTACTTTGACCAGAACCTTATTTCTAAAATTAGGGTGCTGTGTTTTTTTGCACCCTATCTATTTTTTTTTTCCAGAAGGTAATAAATAATATGATCCAGTGTCAAAGAGAAACCCTTAGTCGTTATTGTAGATGAGAAACCCTTAGTCGTTATTGTAGATGGACTTATTTAGCTATGTAATCACTTTTTCATTTTCGAATGGTGTGCTAACAGATGTTGGCATCTGCTCCAAAAGCGTTGGCGGCTGCTCCAAACCAGTATTTTGCCTGCTACAGAACTTGCTACAAAAGGTCAAATACTGCTTCCATCACTGCCTCCCTCCTCTTTTTGTTACCGAGCATTATTTGCTTTCGTTCATCTCGTTCAACAGTTTTCCTACAACATAGACTGGAGTAAGAGAGAGACAGTGATTGGTTGTGTCACATGTTCAACATGACTGCCTTGGAGGAGGGGTCCATGACTATTGGGTTATGTTGTCAAACTAATGATTTGTTCACAATAAGAATTTAAGAAAGACATAGTTGCATGTAATTGATTCCGATGGTATAGTTAGATTTTATTTTTTTTGTTTGCTTCACATGACCCCTTTGCAGGGGATCTCGCCTGTCAAGTGCATGCATGATCTGAATCCTGCGCTTTGCTCGCACAGGTCCAGGTCATGTGCTGGAGAAGCACACAGAGATAGCTGCTTGAGTTGGTGCCAGACATTTGTAGAAGTAGAAGTTCCTCCGAGTTGGAAAATTCGGTGCGAAATGTTCGGCTCCTTAAAAGTTTGTCTCCTCGCTAGCATGATTCACTGATGTAGAAGCTGGTTGATACGGAGTATCATCAAATGGTTTTCTTATTTCTGCTTGTTTCCGGTGTGGACGTGTCAGTGGCTAATGTCGTATGCATGTCTTGTTGCCACGGGACAACTTTTTAAATCTGCCCTGGGTTTGCCTGTTTCAGAGCGTGACATGTGTGCTGCCGGCCCCGCAGGGTGGAGCTTGGCTCCCGGGGGCGGCTGGAAGCGCTGATGCGATGAGTGGGTGAAGTGTGTGGAGCCAGCATCATGGCGGACTATCAGCTGCTCGGCGGGGACAGCTACGGCCAGGGCATGGAGGAAGGTGCGGGGGCCCTGGCTGGCTACGGGGCCTCGCAGGACCTGGTGTCGCCCCTGATGGCGGCCAACCCGATGGGCTCTGGCCAGGCCCAGATGGGGGCCTACCCGCAGATGCAGCCGGCCTACTCGCAGCAGCAGGGGGACGTGTCCCAGAAGATGCACTACGGGGCCTATGGTGCCGCCACGCACCTGACCCCCGAGTATGGCATGCGGACGCACGCTATGGGAGAGGCGGCGCAGCAGTCTTCGATGATGACGGGCTATGCGCAGCAGGCGCTGGTGGGGCAGCGTATTCAGTCGGCCACCGACCAGTATCCGTACGGGGCCATGGGGGCCCCGCAGCGAACCCAGGACGTCTGGCGGGGCCACTACCTGAGCTCGGGGCCTGGCTACCAGCAGCACGGAGACGTCATGAGCGCCCAGCATGCCCTGGGGGCGGGACTAGCAGGCCAGCAACACCGGACAGCCCAGGGGCAGTACGCCGCCGGCCAGGAGTATTCGATGCACGCTCCCCAGCAACACGGCTCGCCCCAAAGACCCGCCTACGGCACCCAGGGCAACGGTCCGCACGTGGCGCAGATGACGGCCAAGGCGACGACGCACCTGCCGGACCAAACCTTGGCGTCGTACCCCCAGACGACGTATCCCTCGGCGCAGCCAGCTGCCAATCGAGCCACCTACGGGACGGCGGGCAGTATGAGCCACTCGGCCGTGAGTCAGAGCATGCCCTCGCGAAGTCTCCAGCGGCCCGGTGGGTACCCCACGGGCAGCACCAGCCAGCCAGCCCTGCCTCAGGGAAGTCCCGCTCGCATGCAGCAATACCCCCAGTCGGCCTACTCTCCGGGGCACCCCTTCTCGGGGTCGGATGCCACGAGTCCCTCGCACCTGTCGCCGTACCCTAGCCAGGCGCCCAACAGCCCGCAGTACCGAGGGTCGTACCCTTCGCCGCGACGACCCACACCCACGCCGCCGGCAGGCTCGCCCAGCGTCGTGACGAGCCAGCAATCCTCGTCTCAAGGCAGCTACCCGAGCCCCGGGGCCACCCACCTCTCTAGTCCGGGACAGGTGCTTTCCCCTGGCAGCGGGGGCACGACTGCCACGGCCCCTGTGGCAACCAGCAGTCTCCAGCAACTGGAGCAGATGGTGATGCCCCACATGGCCGCTGCAAAGACTCCTTCGGCTGCCACAAGCTCGACCAGCAGCTACTACGGTGGCACAGCGCCGCAGCAACAGACGCAGCCCTATGTGCCGCAGCAGAACCTGGGCTATCCCACCATGGGCTCGGCGCAGCACCATCCCTACCCGGGACCGTCTCCAAGTTTGATGGCCAGGGCCCGACCTTTGGCTGGCTCGGCGGATGCGGCGGCATTTGGTGCAGGCGACGTGGGAGCTATGGCGGGGGGACCCCCGATGCCTACGCGAAGCGACTACCCCATGGGCACTTCGGGGTCCCAGCGGACAGCGCCTATGTCGCCGGTCGCGTCGTCGTACTCCTCCTACCCGACCCCACAGCCTGCTTCCTCTCTTGGCTACGAGCAGGCGCAACAGCAGCTGCAACACTTATACAGCGTGCCGCAGACGGCACAGACGCAAAAGAGGGTGAGTTAGTGCTATGTCTTTCTGAAGCTCACTTCTGCTACACCAACGCACACTATGGTACTCTCACTTGGAACATTATGTTGTTTCTGCTCTAACCATGTCCTTTTCTTGCTTTTTGGTGTCTGTTAAGTTCTTCTTATTCTTTTTGCCCTTCACATTTTCACATTACCCTTTCCTTTGTAATTTTCTTTTTACTTGCCTATCTTTTTTTTTTGTTTGTAACCTAAAATTTAGAACTAACAATGCTCTATAGAGCCTTGTGGTACTGGGTGGACTTTACATTCTACTGATTTTGCACTGAATCTAAGAGTGGATTGTCGGTCTGTTGTTTGTAATGTTGCTACATAATATTCAGTGAGGACCGGAAGCCACACAACAGTTATCATTTGTCCCACAGATATCCGAACTGCAGGATCGACTCCGTGTCCTACAACAGCAGCAACAGCAGCAGCAATCTTCAACTCTGACGTCACCATCAAATGCATCCTCATCGCCATCGGTAGCTGGACTTGGTGGCTCACTTGGGACCGGCCTAGGGGTCCTGGGGTCTCCCGCAGGCTCTTCTCTGGGAAGCTACCAGTCACAGTATCCGCAGGGGACCAACGCATCAGCAGGAGTTGCTTCCTCGGCAGTTCCGTACTCACAACCACGGCAACAGATGACAATTGCCACTTCGCAACAGCCCCAGCAGCTCCCTCCACAGCAGGTAAGAAGTTGTTTTTGTTTATTTTATTTATTTATATTTTAAATTTTTTTATGTTGTCTATAACTTAGTTGGCAGGGGGGCTTTTTACCTTTTGGCACAAATTATAGGAATGAGTGTTGTGTAAAAAGAAAAACTGTGGGGAGTAGCTGCTGTGCAATTTAAAGGGACCATGAAATGACCTTTTTACTTTTTCCAGATAACTTTTACATTAAATCGTCAATGTTCACTGAATGCCGAACAGGCATCCGTTTTCGTCTCGGTTTATTAACTTCTACACAAAAAATTAATGAAATATTGACTTTTTCTTTCTCTCCAACTGACCGCAAAACAAGCCGTGACGTACGCTGTTTCCGGAATTGGAAGCTCTCTCGGCAGTAGGAGAATGGGAGTGTTAGTGGCGACGAGTTGGGGTGCGCCGGTAGGTTTTACTGCGCTGATGTCACCGACGTATTTTCTGAATCGGCGCCTCTCATCACCGCATCGTAGCTGAGCGGAATTCAATGAGATATGTTGCGCTACAGCGACAGCATGGGACTAGTCCCATACGCCGGTACGCCTGTTGGGAAGTTCAGCGAGTCTTCCGGTGAAGACTCCAAAAGTCAACCCAACTGTCATTGTTGGTAAAAGGCGGCCCGTGTCAGTCGTTTGCAAAGCGATGTAGATGGAAACAAATTGCCGCGGCGTTTTTCGCGGCCTCGGAGATGCAGGAGCGAGCCGACGTTAAAAAAGATATGTTTGAACTACGAGTGTCAGCAAGAGCCACGTAAATACCTGTTCACACTCGGAGCGGACGCGCGCGTTTGAAGGAAGTGCTGTATTCGCGCAGTTGGTAAGCGCTTCGGGACCAATCTTTTACGATTGCAACTCGACACTGACGCGACACTCGGCAAAGAAAGGTTGGACTGGCATTGCACGAATACCTCCCACGAACTGTGATAGCTCGACAGTGACATGCAGTCTGTCAGAATAAAAATGGCATACCAATAACAAAGTGTACATACCGTGTTACGAAGGAAATCCATACGGCATTTATTTCAGCTCTATATCACACAAAACAAGAAGATAGAATCGACGAGAGTCCCTTTTCGACGAGTGTTCGTCAACACTGCCTCGGAAAACAAGGGGAAGAGATTGACCTCACCTCTTAATCTAAAATTGAGGTCAGCGATCAAACTATAATATGGGAAGGGTCCACAAGCGTAGCGCGGGCATATTCCATTCAGCACGCCAGCCGGTCGTAGGCAGACGGTCTTGCGACGAAGCAACGCTGCGCCGAGTCGGGAGTGCCTGCTAGGCCTATATTCTGAGCAGCTCGCTTCGTCGGAGTCGGTGGATTCGTGGCCATTGTTGCTTTTCTCGGGTGTTTGTGGATCCAGCGTTCTTGTTCGTCGTGGTCTGTTTTAAGTACTTTTTTTCTTGCTGCTTGAAGTCGGCGCGCGCGAGAAGAACACATAGAAAAATAAACGTTCAGTCAGTCAGAGTTTTGAGAGGAAGGAAATCAAAGGAAATAAACGTTTGTCGGTCGTCGCGACCCAAGTAACTGAAGTTGGCCCTGCCCTACTGCGCACGCGCAGTAGTTGCTTCGTTTACCACACGATAGATGGCGCTTGGCTCTCAGCATTATCAAATTTGGCAATTTTCACCACACATCTCTAATTATGCTACAAAATGTGGATCTGAATATTATTTAACAAAACTTTTAGGAAACATTCGCTGGCTATTTATTGTTTATGATCGCGGTGCTGGTGAGGTAGACTCTTACCCAATAGGCGACGTGGATTCGGCTGACGTGCTCCGTTTCCGCGGATGCATCGTAGTGAAAAGGCGAAGGAAAGAAGGCGCAAAAGAGTCCAGTTTTCTTTTAAAAGTTCTATAGCAAATAATTTTTCTTGGCTCCCTATTTTTGTGTTTTTGTGTTTCTTTTCACACCTTTTACGACATGCGGTGGATGAAATTCGATTTTAAAATCATTTCATGGTCCCTTTAATAGGCACCCCATAGATACAGCAGTTTAAGAGGGGGCCACAAGAGTTGTCTCATCATGGGATCTTGTGTTTTGGTGGCCGCATTATTTTTATTGTGACATCCTGCTGAGCATGGTTGAGAATTTTCGTCAAAAAAGTACCTAACATACAGCTGCACTTATGCAAAAAGTTTGTAAGGTACACTTCTAGGCACTCAATGAAAAATGCCCTTAAATAAAGGTACCAGAATAAACGGAAAGCAACAAAAAGGACAAGGACAGGACAAAATTTATCCTTTTCGTTGTTTTTTATTCTTGTAACATCATCTAACACTCATCTAACCAGAATACTGTGGTGAATGTTTCTGAGAAATTCCTCATGGGGACTTATTAAAATTGCAGTCGCGATGCAGGTTCATGGCTTGCCGTGATCACCTATCAGGGGTTGGGCCTATCGGGGGTTAGGGCACCGAGCACAAACAGTCGCACTGTGCACGGCTGAGCCATGCACATGTACGACCTACGACACCTAGGCATGTGGCTTCTGTTGACAGACGGCACTTGGGTTTACGAGGCCATGCATTGTGCTGGTCTGTTTTATGTCATTGTATACCTAGGTTTGTGCTTTAGATACGATTTCAAGTTACTCATACCTTGGTACCTTACATCTAGACCGGAGAAAGCTGGGTTTTATCGTAAAACGAAAAATGGCTTGACGAAATGCTCGAAAACGCTTGACACGTTACGAGGGGTGACCACAGAAAGAAGTGGAAACAACCTGAGGCTAAAAAAGTAAACTGTGGCTTTTTTTTTTTTTTTGTGGAGGGCTGGTGTTAAACCATTCAGTAAAGCCAAAATTTCTTAAATTGCATTTGGGGGAAATGGAAGCATGGTCTTATTGTATCCTTGTGGTTTGTTCCTCAGCAGGCACATCCCCAGCTCCCACCATATGGCCCACAAGCTCAGCAGCAGCTTCTGCAGAACTCCCAACTTCAGCCGGCACTCCAGCCGGCACTTCAGCAGTCGCAGCAGCAGCAGCAACAGCAGTCACAGCAGCAGTCGCAGCAACAATCGCCGCAGCCGCAGTCACAGCAGCCGCAGCAGCAGCAACAGCAACAACAGCAGCAACAGCAACAACAGCAACAACAGCAGCAACAGCAGCAGCAGCAGCAACAACAACAGCAACAACCTCAACAACAGCAGCAGCAGCAAGGACAGGCATCCGTGGGGATGGTTGTCGCTTCTGGGGCTCCTACTTCGGTTCCACCGCCGAGCTCTAGCGTCTCGTCACTGTTTCCTAGCATGGCAGACAGCTACCGTCCTCCCAGCCAACCACCACCACTGCCAGCATCTTTGATATCTGACCAGGTGGGTGTTCTCACTGCTTTTTATTACCTTCATTCACTGTTTGGATTTCGCCTCCCTTTGCTCTAAGCTTATGGCAGCATCTACTTCACTTGCAATTGATAGTTAAGGGGACACACCCCCTAGGGGGGTCAACTTTTGAACCCTTGTCTTAAAATTAATGAAATTTACAGGGTAGGCTGATGGTCATGCAAGAGGGTGTATAACAAAATTTGAGATCTGTCGGTTAAATAAGAGGGAAATTAGAGTAGCTTCTATCAGCAACACGGATACATTGTTTAGTTAATCTATCGTCAAAAAACTATCACGATATTCAAAATTTTTATTTGCTAGATATGTAGCAGAATGCCTAGAGGTGCGGCTATGGCACGTTTTTTCTAAAAAGTAATTTATTTCTATAAATGTTCTCTTCTGCAAAATTGGTCAACTTTTTGGTCTTCTGTGTCTTCGACGAAATATCAACATTTTTTATGAAAGACATCTGTAAAGGGACAAAAAAGTTCCATAGCCGCATTCCTTATTAAATTTCAGTCAGGAAAAGGGAAGAATGAGCCTACCCTGTTTTGCCATTATCAAACGATAGATTGACTAAAATGGAACTTATACCAAAAAGTGGAACGGAGAAAAATGCGTTCAAAGTGCTCCAAACCCTACCTTTTCTTTAGCTTTGGTGTACAAAAAATAATTTACAAAAACTTAACTATGCAGTGAAAATTAATTAAACTTTTGGGGAATACTCTCTAGATGTTGGTGGATGTAAATATGTCATTTTTCAAAACCAACTTTTTTTGTTGAAATTTTTTTTTTCTGGGCAGTGTCTCCCCTTAATGTCCTTTGGCAGTAGACTGGCAGTTCGTTGGTCAAGAATAGTGATGCTAAGATGTCAGATTGGAAAGTGGCCGCAAAACCAGTCTCGTTGAAATTTCAGCAGACGTTAAAATCAACATAAGGATTGCCTAAAAGAGATGAAGCATCCATATTTAGACTAGGTACATGTTTTAATGAGAACCAACCAGTTTGAAGTGCATATGCACAGTGCTCAATGAGATTGCTGCAGTGAAACGAAATAGACCAGTTTAGTGTGAATATCACCGTGCTCGTTGCTATGTCGTCTCAGGAGAGAAATAAACTTTGTGCATACATAGTTCATCCGCTTGCACTAAATATTTCTTTCACGACTTGGTTGTTAGAGAGGAAAAAAATTAATGAAAAAAGAACAGCCACATGACCAAGAAGTGATCTTAAAAGTACACAAAAAATGTTCTTGCCTCTTAGATTTAAAAAAAAAAATAATAATAAATAAAAAAAATTTTTTTTTTTTCTCTAAGCTACACATTTTCCAAGTACATTACACTTGGAAAATCCACATTCATTTGATCACATCAATTCAAGGTCCCCTTTTTATTTCTTAGTTGCAGTATAAAGTCTTTCCGATGGTATCTTATGATCTGATAATTATTATTTTCTTTAGCAGTAGTAATTATGCTCTAAATATTGTTCTTCTATGTTTTCAATCCATAAGCTCTCAATTGTTGCATCAATCAGTACTGTACTCATCCCTCAAGTGCTGACTGTGTTTATTAGTTTTGCTGGAGGAACTATTCGCATAAACTTGACAGCCTGAACTTGCTGCAGAGTTTACTGTAGCATATCCCTTTGAGACTCTAACTGGCAAATTCACAAACCTCACTCCAATTGATGTGCCCCTCCACCTCCTCGAGGAAGGCGCGAGGGCCGGGCGCTGGCCAATTGCAGCCGCCTATCTGTCGTCGCGATTGGCCAGCGCCGACCCTCGCGCCTTCCTTGAGGAAGTGGAGGGGCGCCTCAATTGAAGTGAGGCTTGTGAATTCGGCGGTAAGGGAACCGTGGCAGTTTATGTCGATCATACTAGCGCTGTGTTTGGCTAGTTTATTTTGGTTTAAAGGGATGCTGAACCAAACATTTCAGTGTCTATAATAAGTGGCACACTATCTTTCCACGAGTCAGCAGTTGCCGGTGTGCGCAAACTCATTCAACGAAATATACATCATATCCCCCATTCAAGCTAAACTTGAATGGGGGGTATGATGATGTAAATTTCAAAGCAATCTTCACAGTTTGTGGACTTCGTTTTTGGCACTTGGAGTATTCACATCATAACAAAATTTTGTCCCTATGATCTTCACAGTATGCAGAATGCTAGTATGTATTTGAAATGTCTCACTTATATTGATGAGTACAGGTATTTTGAACTTCCAAATGTCTTTTTTTTAATTTTGCAATTTTGGAAAATCTTTACAGTTTGTGCGCTCCATTATTGGCACTTAGAATCTTCGCATCACAATAAAATTTTCCACCTACGATCTTGGGTATATATAGACTGCTAGTAGGTAGTATTTGAAATTGCTATATCTAAGTTATATTTATAAAAACTTGTAAAGGGCTTCTAGAATGGAAGTATCGAAAGATCTTCTTTCAGCGGAGCTGTTAGGGCTAGGTTCCTCAGGATCGTGTCCGGCACCAAACAAATGTCAACACAAAACTCTGGACAGCTACCACCATCTATGAGCGACGGCGGCAACCAGACAACCGGCTTGCCGGTCTCGCTCATAGATGGCGGCAACCTTTCCAGCCTTTCCACTCTGGTTTCACCAGAGTGGAAAGGCTGAATTTCTCTAGGCGTCATCCTAGATGTCGTCCTCGAGGTCATCCTAAAAGTCGTCCCTGAGGTCGTCCTAGACGTCGTTCTTGAAGTCGTCCTAGAAGTCGGCCTTGAGGTCGTCCTAGACGTCGTCCTAGACGTCCTTGAGGTCGTCCCACCGTAGTACAACCTCGTTGGTCTTCCTTCTTCACCAGAGTGGAAAGGTTGAAAGTTTTTTTTTTGTTTTCTTTCAAGATTGGAAAGTTATGCGCAGCTTTTGACTAGTTATTTGCATTCTACACTTCATAAAGAACAAAATTAGCTATTGCCCGATGTTCCTTTTGAAGAATTAGTATGTTAAAGCATGCACACGAAAAATACTTTTTTCAGTTGTTGGGTGGGGCCGTAAACGAAAACTATGTAAGCCACATTAAAACTGATGACTCTTTTAAAAAGAGTGGGCACAACTCTAAATACTTGAAGTTTCATTGTCCTCGGGCAAAAATTAAAAAAATGTGTGTCTCTGTGTGGCATGTTCCCGGTGTGATGCTTGACATGTGATGTGAAACACTCCTGGGGTGGTTTGCTTATCTCTAGGCCGCGGCCACGGTTGTGACCAAAAAGGATTTTTATGTCACGTGACCAGCTCAATGGGGACAAGGAAGTACCTAGTGTCCCTGCCTAATGGCAGTGAAATCCGTGTCGCTTCGAGTACAAAGGTTTAATTTCGCTCGCAGAAACTGATTGCAGAGGCTGGAGTCCAATCAACCGCCCCTTTCTACTTCAGGAGCGGCAGGTAAAGTTATGACCAGGAAAGGTAAATATGAGCCAAACTAAAAGAAATCGCGCGAGATAAAAGCGGTGGAAGCATATTTATATATCTGCGGCAGCAACAAGGTTTCTAGTTTTCTGCTGTAGTCGAGGGGTAAGAGTTCCGGGACCTGTCGTCGGGGCGGGAAAGTTACGGGTTCAAATCATGTCACAAGCGTTTTTGTAGCGTAAGCTACACTGGCCGAGGTTGAGCAGTTTCGCATGACTCCTGGAGAGCCGTGCTGCGCATGCGCGAGGAGCAGTGACGTCACACGTGTCAGTCTCCGATGCACGCGCCGCGCGCATGCACCCGCTCGAGATTATGCAGGGGTGGAACGGCTGCGCCATTTGTGCCATTTTGCGTCAGACGCATTTGTCTGCGCCATCCTGCGCCATTTTGCGGAAACTGCGCCACAGCCAATACTTTGTGCCACTGTGTCCCAAATCGTACAACGTGCGCCAAAATAATTCTATTTTGTCTTGGTTTCGGTTTTTCTTGACTCGATTGGCAACAATGAGCGCGTTTAGCTTGGTCGGCCTTGCAATTTTTTGTTCCGTTTATTTTTCCTGTGTATCCCGAGTCGAAAGCACGTGAAAAAACTCAAGGGTCGGATTCCAAGTGCTACATCACGTGCGAATGGATTGTTATTCTTCAACCATAAGTGGTTAAGCAAGTCGGCCGAGGTGAGATCGAGCCGTTAAGCATCAGATAGCTAGCTTGAGGGTCTGAGGCCCGGGTTCCGGACGTCAGCCAGTTGAAAACACATTAGCGAAAGATTCCTTTTAGTGCTTCATCGTTAAAAGTTAGAACCGCATTCCTGCAAGATAAATTGTGATTTGATTGAACTGAAACGCTGTCCGATCCGAAACCTTGCCAGCCAGCAGCTATCATGCGAGCGGTAGATCTACTTGACATACTTTAATCTTGCTCTGGTTCATCGCTTCAAATATGATAACTCCTTTAATCGTAGTCTGATCCTTCGATATTGAGTTGTACAATAGGATAAACTGAAAATTTGTTGCCCTGTTCCTCCGCGCAACTGCACGTCCTTTGCTTACGCACGTCACGTGGTTCGCACATATAATTACTATGTCGAGCACGTGTGGGTCGTGCTATAAACAGTGCTGGTTTGCATTTTGAGCAACTGAAAGCCACTCGGAAGATATCAAGGACAGACACTATCTTCAGAAACATATAGTACTTGCTTTTTGGTTTTCACTAAGGCCAAGTTTTTGCACCTGTTACACTGTTATCCCATCTGCATAGGTTCCTAACCACTCATGCTCATCTGTGCTGCTAAGCACAAGTGAAGTTGCTCCCGTGCTTGTCTAAGACACAAGCTGAAGTGCAATGAAAACTGATTTGAGTTGCTCCTAGCCTGCTCCAGAATGTAGTTTTAGCTGCTCCCAGCCTGCTCCAAAACAGCAGTTTCAGCTGCTCCCGTGGCTGCTCCCAAGTACATTTCATGAGTTCCACCCCTGGATTATGGTTCGTGCTGTCCGATTGTTCTGGGCGGCAGCTTGGTTGCTTGATACATAACAACACAGCGCACATCTTAACTCGTCGGATCTCGAAGTAGTCACATAATGCGTATACCGTGTGTGTGTCATTGAAGCAGCAGTAAGCATGATAATCAAGCTAATCCTAAACAACCAGGAAAGCTAAGAATGACCAGCTGAACCTAAGCTTACGCTACATATATCTTGGCATAGCCGAGCTAAGCCACCGTTAGCTTTTTTAAAATATTTTCGAGGTTTTATTTTTGAACTGTGATCCTTTTTACAAATCATCCGCTTGCACCACTGTGCATTACACAGTTTTTATTGTTTGTCCCACCTATTGAATTGACACACTGGAAGAAAAAAAGCAGGTCAAGCCAAGTTAATGCGCTAATACAATAATTTCATAAGGTTCGTTAAAAGGAAACTAAGATGACAGCGTCAGCATGACTTTCTCACTAACGGGGTCCGAACAAGGCGTCTCTACCTAGATGACATGTTTCTAAATTGGCACACACAGACGGAGAGTGTTGATAAGTCTGCAAATCAGTCGTAGTCAGTATGTCGGTGGAACGGTTCAGCAATAGGCCAAAAAACGGTTGAAAGAAATGCAGGTGCTGCAGAACCAAAAATGGTGAAAACATGCTACAGGTAGCCTAGCCAGACGTTTTGGGATGCAAAAATACATTCGTTGCATTTAGGGAGACTATTACAATAGATGTTGAGCAAAAAACAAAAACTCAGACATAGCAAGGACGATTTGTAAAATGGATCACAGTTAAAAAGTAAGACTCATGCGCAAAATAAAAATAATATAAAAAAATTAAAAAAAATTTGTGATACGATTTGAACCCGGAATTTTCACGCTGCGACGGCAAGTCACACCTCTTGGCCCTCGACTACAGCAGAAGGCTCAAAACTCCGTTGCTGGCGCAGATATATAAATATACTGGCACCACTTTTATCTCGCATGATTTCTCTTTTAATTTGGCATATATTTACCTTTCCTGGTCATAACTTTACCTGCCGCTCCTGAAGTAGAAAGGGGCGGTTGATTGGACTCCAGCCTCTGCAATCAGTTTCTGCGAGCGAAATTAAACTTTTCTATATGAAGCAACACGGATTTCTCTGCCATTAGGCAGGGACGCTAGGTACTTCCTCGTCCCCATGGAGCTGATCACGTGACATAAAAATCCCTCTTGGCCGCAACCGCGGCCGCGGCTGCGAGATGAGCAAACCGCCCCTGGCAACAGATGAGCAGGGCCAGTATCGAAGTGTGAAAGATGGGTGTCCTGAGACGGTACTATGTTTTCCTGCAGGACATTCAGAACTCCTTGCCTCCACTGCCTATGGCGGGTGTCCCCAGCGTGGTGCCAGCTTCTGTGGATGACCTGTGTCCCCTTGAGGGTCCATTGGGTGCATCTTTGGGATCTTCACTCGGTGGCCCCATGGGTGCTTCCATGGGTAGTTCCATGGGCAGTTCTCTAGGAGGTCCCATGGGTGGCCCTATGGGTGGCCCCATCGGAAGTTCTATGGGAGGCCCAATGGGAAGTTCCATGGGAGGTCCAATTGGAGGGTCCATGGGCGGTTCCATGGGAGGTCCCTTGGGGGGTCCCTTGGGGGGTCCTTTGGGGGGTCCCTTGGGAGGTTCCATGGGAGGTCCCATGGGTAGTCCCATGGGTAGTCCCATCGGAGGTTCCATGGGAGGTTCCATAGGAGGTTCCATGGGAGGTCCGATGGGAGGTCCGATGGGTGGTCCCATGGGTGGTCCCTTGGGAGGTCCCATGGGAGGTCCAATGGGTGGTTCCATGGGGAGTTCCATGGGGGGGTCCCATGGGGGGTCCTATGGGGGGTCCAATGGGGGGCCCCATGGGAAGTCCACTGGACACGGGGGCACCCTACTCGTGCCCGATGCCTCCCGAAGACCCGTACCTGTTGCCGCCTGACGACGTGCTGCCCCCTATTGAGCCCATGACCAAGCGCAAGCCCAGCCGGAGCAAGAAGAAGGCCAAGGCAGCTCAGTTGCCGGACATGCCTCCGCTGGGCATGGGGCCTGGGGAGGGCTTGGGGATGCCCAGCACTGATTACTCGGTAAGGGCTAAAGATAGAGGCTGCCTTGTTATGAATGGCATGTAGCTGAAAATAGAAGCATCAAGATTGCTTTGATGGGACTTCATTCATTCATTATACCTAGGGTTCCGCGTTTTCGGTTTTTATTTTTTCAAAATTCGGCGTACTTTTTTCGGTGTTTATATTAAAATTTAATTTTCGGTTTTTTTCGGTGTATATTTATGCCCACAAAAGTTTACCGTTTTTTATCGGTTAATATGAAAGAAACACCATCGGACATCGGATTCTTGTAGCTCTGCTATTTGTGATCATTCAAAGAATAACGGCACGGATACATTGAGAAAAAACAAAACAAAAAAACATGGACACTTTATTTAAACAATGTGTGCAACTGTAAAAAAAAAAAAAAAAAAATCGTCGAAGTACAAATAAGTCCGTGCCCAAAAAACATGGAACTTCACCTTTTGTAGATCAGGATTACGTGATCTTATTATAGTAAACACACACGTATTTTCCCAGGCTCTCCTCGTTTATCCAAGCGATCATTCCTGTTAATGAACCTGGGCTTCGAGAATGCTCTCTCAACGTTGACACTGGACACTGGCAGGCTAAGGAGATGAAGCGCTGCCTGAGCCAAAATCGGCCAATCAACCAAATGTGACTACCAAAAGAGACACGGTGCGACGTTTTGAAGCACGAGATATTTCGTCTACTCACTAAACTCTGGCTGCAGATCTTGCATGAAGCGAAACACCTTATACTAGCCCACACCCGAACTTTTTTTAGGACCAGGAACTTGACACACTAAGCCCGATCACAGAGAGGAAACAGATGACCCCCGAAGGACAACCCAAGACCTCTTTTGTTGCATGTTGAACCTTGGTAGAGGGCAGTCATGAAGAGGTCACACATTGTCGAACCTTGCAACGCCCTCTCTCTTTTCCCCCCTCCACCCGCCCATCTCGACGCGGCCCTAAAAAAGTACTTTTTGCGGTTGAAACAGAATTAAAAAAAATGGAGTTGAGGTATTTTATTGTTTTTTATCGGTTCGAACCGAAAACGTCGAACCTAAAAACTGACCTTTTTCGGTTAAAACCGAATTTCCGAAAATGGATTCGGCGTACTTTTATCGGTTTTTATCGGTTTAAACCGAAAACTCCGAACCCTAATTATACCTTAAGGGCCCTGACAGGGTCATTAAATAAAAGGAGGGCAATAAACAATATATATTTGTGGAACATTAGCATAACATATAAAAGAAAGCTAAAAAAAAATTAGGGTGGGAAAAAAAATAAAACATTTTACCGAACACACACAAACACACAAAAGAAAAGCAAAACTGTTGAAAATATTCTGGATGGGGACTTGGCGGCGGCCATGTGTTAGAACATGGCTAATTACAACACAATACGAGATGATGCAGCATTTCTCAAAATATCGAGGTTGCTGATGAATGCTATGTGATCTGGCAGATTATTCCTTTCTGTTATGGCAAGGGGAAGAAATGAGTTGTTAATCCTTTGATGGTCCTCGCCGTACATGTGCGGTGGTGATGACACATTTGAAAGTGCCCGCCTAAACGTGAAACTGCACACCATAAGAGGTATTGCTATTTGTTAGTTCTTCGATGAACTATGAATGCTATATTCGCATGTCATCCCGCATTGCTGGGCTAGTTATAGTTTTCTAATTAGACGTTCCGCGCAGGTGATGCTCACTTCGCATACTGGCCGCTCTGGTGGTAGTGCCGATGGGAAGCACTGGCTCTTCCGATTCAGACTTTTAATGCTTTTTGTATTTAAATTTAGAGGATGAGAGCTCATCATCCGACGGAGAAGTTCTGTTAAGTACCTGCATTTAGGGATCTGAAGCCGCTGGAATATTGCGGAAGCAAATGCAGCAAAAATTAAACCGAATAAAAGAAAGACGCAACTTTTCGCCTTTAATATTTCAATTTGATACTTCTAAACCTAATAAGCTTGCTAGCATTGTTATTGCTCCCGCTGGATAATTAAGAAGAAAATATGTGCACTCATCTTTTTTTTTTATATTAATCCTTTGGAAGCAAGACTCAACCACTTAGAAATATACTTTTGGAAAAACAAAACTTGACTGTCAAAGAGTAAAAAGTTGCAGTGGAACCAGGGATGCAACATACGCTGAGGAAGTTAAAATGTAGTCGGGATGAACGATGGGTATCTAATGGCAAAGACTGTGCGAGTTAAGGGTGGTGATTGATCCTCACTGAAGAGACAAAAGCATAATATTCTGCAACGAGTACTGAGAGAGGGGAGGCACAAAGAGGCCTGTACTGCAGAGGCAGTGACAGTGCATTCATAGCTAGAAAGGATGAATGGGGCAGCTTGGTTTTGAAGGAATTATAGGGTATAAATGAGGTTGATTTGATAGGAGACCAGGTGGCAGCTGCATATTCTATCTTTGGGCAAGCAAAAGTCTCGGGCCAGCTGCCTTAGAGCAGGAGGTGTGGCATGCAGGCAGCGTCGAATGCAGTTAAGCATCTTGGAAGCTTCCATAGTTATTGAGTCAGTGTGGTTAGTCCGGGGCATATTAGGGGAGAAATAAACACGGTAATGATAGGATTGAAGAAGTTCAATGTCTAATGCTCGTGGGAAAAACGAACAAACTTGCACTTTTAATAGTTTGGTAACGGTAGGCATTTACCACGCCGGTCGATTACGCTTTCAAGGTCATTCTGGAGAAGAAAATTATTGCTTATACATTTTATTTGGTGATAAAATACACAATCATCAACAAGCACATGCAGAGGAGACAGGGTTTGGAAGGTCGTCAATCAAAATTGAGAGAAAGGCTTCCGGTTGGTTGTTCCACGCTTAATATACCGAAAGCATTTACCTGCATTTCTTACTGGGTAGTAGGTGGAGTGATTGTGAGTGGCCCTCACTCTTGGTTTCAGATGGCCCCGGACAGCCCTAGTAGCATGCCCCTTCTGCTTCCCCAGCAGCCAGGCATGGAGCCCCTGCCTGCACCGCCTCCCAAGAAGGCTAAGAAGCGCAAACCCAAGGAGCCTAAGGAGCCCAAGGAGGGTGAGGCCCCCAAGGAACCGAAGCCCAAGAAGCCTAAGAAGCCCAAGGCACCCAAGCCACCCAAGGAGCCGAAAGAGCCCAAGGAACCCAAGGAAGGCGGTGCCCCGCCACGCAGTCGCAAGAGCAAGGCCAAGAGCAAAGCTGGTGAGGCCAAGCCTCCTGCAGCTCCGGCTGTAGGGACGGCTGACGAGGGGGCCACTGACAAGGAGGCGGGAGGAGCGGAGGAGGGGACTGCGGCTCCCCTTGGCGGCCCAGAGGGACAGCCTGCGGAAGATGCTTCTGGCGATGTGAAGCCAGCCCAGCCCCCCGAAGAGTGCAAGACTCCCAAGAAGAAGTCCAAGGAGAAGAAGGAAAAGAAGGAGCCAAAAACACCCAAGGAGGCAACTCCCAAGACTCCCAAGGCTCCCAAGAAAAAGCTGCCCAGGTAACGTTTCCAGTACATGCTTGCACTGGGTTCATTTGCACCAATATATAGAAAGTCTAGCTTTGTCTCACTGAGTATCCGAGAGTAGCCTCTTTTGAAGCTCTGATCGGGAACTCACCACCCAGCATGGGGGCTTCGATTTTTGTCGTATGGCTGCTTGCTGTAGGTTGGAGGGCACCTGCTGCTAGTATGCGCTTGTGTTTATTTTGTTGGCTTTTTTAGTTGTGTCACTCATAGCACGGAACTTGAGTGCCTCATTAGGCTCCAGGACCCTTTCTTCCACTGTCATAATCGCAGACTCATGGCGAGGCCACGTCGAGGTACAACAAACGTTCGTGTTCCGGCGTAAGCGCCGAGTGCCTGACTTGGTCCTCGGCATATTTATTTAACGAGGCCGCCGCTGCTCGTCTGTGCCACAGTGCAACTGACATTGTGACAGTGTATACGGGTGTCCTTCGGCATTCGAAGCGAGGCCTTCACTCTCAATACTTACTCGTGCTCTTCATTGTTTAACTACCCTCATGAACGAATCTGGTGCCAACAAGTGCAAATTCTGAGAAATCTACTTCACGAGCACAGTTCACAACCCTTCAAAGCTATCTGTTTGTGCTCACATTTTTTGCTTCTTTTAGGGTTGGTTTAGGGGTGCAGGATTTATCAATTGCAAAATGTTAGTAAACTTAAAGCATTTATGATTTGTTTTTGTAATTTCGGGTATTTTAGGTTTAAATAAGCTATCCAATGTTCCGACTTTGAATGGTTTCCTTTGTTTGTCTTTGCAGGCTGTCGTTAAAATTCAGCAAGAAGAAGAAGCGTAAGCGCCTCGGTTCTTCGGACAAGTCAGACTTGGAGGCCACGCCCCCACCTTCTCCGGAGGACGGGGACGGCGTGCAGAAACGGCGCTCGTCGCGGAACACTCACCGCAAGAAGTACACGGACGATATTGAGCTGCAGCTGAGTGGGGACGATGCTGCCCTGGACGTCTTGCATGGCGGCATTGCTCGCTCGGGGACAGACAACAGGAACGTGCAGGTGCTTGTGAACGTCGTCACAGAAGACACAATGGTGGTCGAGAAGATCTTGGCATCGCGAATGACCACACGGAAGTCAGAGGAAGAGGACGGGGAGCCGGTGGAGGCGGAAGAGTTCTTCGTCAAGTACAAGAACCTGTCGTACATCCACTGCGACTGGAAGACCCTGGAAGAGTTGGAGATGACGGACAAGCGGGTGCTGCAGAAAGTGAAGCGCTTCCGCCAGAAGAAGGACAACATCAGCTCGATCTTCGACTTCCTCGAAGACGAGCCTTTTAATCCGGACTATGTCGAGGTGGATCGCATCCTGGACATCACCGAGACGGTGGATCCCTTTGACGTCGACGAGCAGCTCAAGTTGCAGCCTCCAGGTGAAGTGAAGGAGGAAGAAAAACCTCTGAAGGAGGTTGAGGATGCTTTGGAAGTGCCAGAGAAGGTGGAGTTGGAGAAGGCGGAGCCTGAGATGTCGGAGCCGGAGATGTCGGAGCCGGAGAAGGCAGAGCCAGAGAAGGCAGAGCCAGAGATGTTAGAGCTGGAAAAGACAGAGCTGGAGAAGGAAAAGTTGGAGAAGGCAGAACCAGAGAAGGCAGAGCTGGAAAACCCAGATGAAGGAGAGACGGAACCGGAAAAGGGCGAACCAGGAAAAGTGGAGGAAGAGAAAGCAGAAACATTTGAGGAGAAAGAAGGGGCAGAAAGTGAAGAAGTGGTAACCAAAAAGGAAGAAGAGGAGGAAGCCATGGATATCAGTAAAGAGGAGTCTGAAGCTAACGAAATGGCGTCTCCATTCAGCGACCAGCCAAAGGTCGAGGAGGTGGAACCAGACCAACCGGCGGAGAAAGTGGTCAAAAAGGAGCCCCCAGAAGACGCTGTAGCTGACAGGTTCGTACATTGGTTCACATCCAGTAATCCCCATCAGCAAGTAGCGTAATGAAATGAACTTACATAGTGATATTATTATTATTATCATTATTATTTATCTATTTTTCGTGAGCTGAAAACGTTTTTACTCAAAATTTTTTAATTTTTCATGTTTCCAAAAGAATCTATTAGATGAGTGCAGTCTCTCATTAATGTCGGCAGGCATCCAGTCATTTATCTTGGGAGGGGGGGAGGGGGGTGATGGTGCCAAAAACAAATTACTGTTACTTTATCGTCCCACTTGACACCAATAAGTTAACACGGCTGGCCTATCACAGTGTCTTTAGTGGTGGTGTCAGCATTCTGATGTTTGTATGGATAGTAACATGCTTGTTGTGATCCATGCTGTCCAGGTACAAGCTGGAAGACGAGAGACAGCCGATTAATTAGTGTGTTGTTTGGACACTGGCTGCACCTTTTATTTGGTGTAAATGACTTTATTTTTGTGGGCTCAATATTTTTGAATTTTTTGCGAATGGTGGGATTCGGAAATATTTGGCGGGCACAGCAGTCACAATTGAGAGAGGTGTGCCATGTATTTGTTGAATTAAGGTAATATATTAGCATGATCTAGTTTTGCAATATTTTTAAAGTCGCAAAATTCGCGAAAATTAAGTTGTTTACAGTACTTCATACCGGGCAAAGCCAGCGACTGCTCATAAATCATTAGTCCTCTCATAATCATTAATGTGAGGTATACTCTGCCTTGCATCATTCCCCATGAGCTGTTTAGGAGCCAGGAGGGCTTTAGTTACCATACAAAAACTAGGAAAAAAAGAGATGCATAAAAGTAAGCCGAGTTCTTCATTGCTTGTTTGGTCCTTGAGTAAAATGTGCTGTACGCAGTGTAAAGCCGGAGGAAGGAGACGAAAAGGTGGACCAAAAACCTGCCGAACTGTGCGTGGCACCAGTGGTACCCAAGGAGGAGGAGGAGAAAGCGACGCGGGTGTGCATCAGGCACCGCCACTACTTGGTCAAGTGGCGGGGCCTCTCCTACGAGGAGAGCACCTGGGAGCTGGAGGAGGACGTGGACCCGCTCAAGATCGAGCACTTCCTCCGCTTCAAGGACCCTCCGCCCAAGGAGAAGTGGAAGGTGAGGCCCGCTGCCTGTCCCACAACCTTTGTCCTGCCGGTTGTCTGACCTGCCCCGACTTCTCTCGTCCAGGTGAAAAAGCGGCCCAAGCCGTCCGAGTGGAAACAGATCGACAAGTCTCCGGTGTACAAAGGTGGCAACACGCTGCGAGAGTATCAGTTGGAAGGCCTCAGCTGGCTTACTTTCTGCTGGTACAACGGGTAAGCACACCCCCGGTGTGTGGCTTCCTGTTGGCGGCCCTTTGTTGTCGGGTGGAATAAGCTTGTCTCTCGCTTGCCAAAGTGTTTAGCTGGGCTTGTTGGTTCATGACTGGAAATGAGCGCCAAAGGAACGGGGACAGGTGAAGAGGTGGAGGACAACACGGGGCGCCCCGTGTTGTTGTCCACAGTGCCCTGTGTTGTCGTCCACTTATTCACCTGTCCCCGTTCCTTGGGCGCTCATTTCCTGTCGCTTGCCACGAAATTAACTCGGTCGCCTCGCAATTTTTGTTGTGCAGGCAAAACTGCATACTCGCCGACGAGATGGGCTTGGGTAAAACGATCCAGTCGTTAACCTTCATCAACGAGATTGTCAAGTATGGAATCAACGGCCCCTTTTTGGTGATTGCTCCGCTGTCCACGATTGGCAACTGGCAGCGTGAGTTTGAGACATGGACCGATCTCAACGTGATCACCTATCACGGATCGTAAGCATTTTTATAGTTCATTTTAGCGGGAGCAAAAGTGGCCCTTTCTGTTTTGGAAGGATTGCAGTGCCTTGTCGCATTTAAGGAGCTGATGTTCTAAACATGCTTTCCCTTTTGCGTTTGTGTGCAGGTCTGCGAGTCGTAACATGATTCAAGAGTATGAAATGTATTACAAGGACGAAAATGTAAGTGCTGGCCGTTGACTGTTTTTAGAAATTGGATGTTGAAAGTTGACCTTTGATATCCGTGTTCAGTTTTTAAGTTCTCTTTTCTTAAGACACATTACTACATGCAGGGCCAGCGCAACGCTGATGTCTTCAAGTTCCAAGTGATGATCACGACATTCGAGATAGTGCTCAGTGACTGTTTGGAGCTGCAGGCACTGCCTTGGCGGGCCTGTGTCATTGATGAGGCCCATCGGCTCAAAAACCGCAACTGCAAGCTCCTCGAAGGACTTCGCATGCTCAATCTCGTGAGTTTTTCATCCTTCTGGGTGGCTGTTAATCTTCCCATTGCTGCTATCTTTAATGGGCAGCATTGTCAATGTAATCCTAGTTATTTTTTTGCAAAGATGTACCAGAGTTGGGATGCCTATGTTGAGAGATCAAATTTGTCATTGGCATTTGTGACATTCTTTCCTCATCGTAATATGGTACCTTGTTTTTGCTTGCATTTCAGGAGCACAGCGTTCTGCTGACAGGAACTCCGCTGCAGAATAATGTGGAGGAACTGTTTAGCCTGCTGAATTTTCTCGAGCCTAATCGTTTCAGCTCTACAGAGACATTTATGGAAGAGTTTGGCGACCTCAAAACTGAAGGACAAGTTGACAAGCTCAAGGCGGTATGTTGTCTGTTAACATTTTTTACGGTTAACTTCTATGTTGCCCATCCCAAAACACGTGCTGCTTTCTTGGCACTTTCAGCTTTTGAAGCCTATGATGCTGCGGCGTTTGAAGGAGGACGTCGAAAAAAGTTTGGCTCCCAAGGAAGAGACCATCGTTGAGGTACTTCGTTGCTCATATCTTTCGTTTTGCGTAGTAATGTGCATTTGAGTTTCATGATACAGAGTAAGTGTTCTCTCATTCCTTTAGGTGGAGCTGACGAACATTCAAAAGAAGTACTACCGGGCCATCTTGGAACGCAACTTTGCATTCTTGACGAAAGGGGGCATTGGCACAAACGTCCCGAATCTCATGAACACCATGATGGAACTGCGCAAGTGCTGCATTCATCCTTACCTAATCAAAGGTGCAAAGCTTTTGTGTAACAATGCTCTTTCTGTTGCCAGAAAAAATTTAGTATAGTCACCATGTAGTTAGCAACCACATTCTTAACTAAATTATTTTCTGTCAAACCTGAAAAAAAAAAAAGTTTTTTTTCTTAATTTTTGAGGGTAGATTATTGTTATATTTTGCAATCAACACCTGAAATACCACTATTGTAAATATACTGTGAGTTATCTCCTGCAGTTTTTATTTCAAAGACCCCTTCTCCTGGTTCTGCACTTCTGCAAAGAGGGAGCTTTGCATGTTGGCCTTTCAGTAGGGCCACCCAAATAAACCGTTCACCTACCTTAAACTGATTAGATGACGACAAATGCCCGTGTTCAGGAGGTTTCACTCTTTCGTTATCTTAACTCCAAGATGGTAAGGGGGATTTCAGATGAGTCGCATCCACCTAGAGCTCTCGCGAGAATGTCGGCAGAGTCGCCTATCATGCCTCCGAGAGCCACAAGAGCCACATGGCAAAAACGGTGCTGACATGGGGCTGCTTACGTGGATACAAATAAGCAAAATGTCCCACAAATTTCACCAGCATGGTCGCCGCAGACTTCTCGCCAGAGGTAGAATGGTATTCCGTGAAGCTGCCCTGTAGTCGAACCCTCCCTCAGTGTTTTATTTTTGAATTGGTGGAGAGGAACTTTGTGGCCAAATAGAAAGAACTGAGCTTGTGTGGCTGTGCCAAGGCGTTCCCTACCTGCCCTGTTTCCGAGAACTGGCCGGTCTGGCATGCCCCCAGGTGCCGAGGAGCAGATCCTGCAAGAGTACCGGCTGCAGCATGGGGAGTCTCTGGAGCTGGCCCTCAATGCCCTGGTCCAGGCCTCGGGCAAGCTGGTCCTGCTGGATAAGCTGCTTCCCCGGCTCAAGGACGGCGGCCACCGGGTGCTGGTCTTCTCACAGATGGTGCGCTGCCTGGACCTGCTTGAGGACTACCTGGTCCACAAGAGGTACCTCGAGTGTGCTTCTTTAGTTTTTTTACCTGAATCGGGCTTGTGCCGGGATGATTTGCCATGCTAATACTGAGTGGTGCCGGCTTGGTCGGCGACCTCCATGGGTGAAAATTTTCTCAACGCTTCTGAGCACACCTGCCTAGTTTAGCGGGGTCTAGAACCACTAACCTTTTGTGGATGCCTATATCAAGTGGGTGTTTGATTGGTGTTTCAGGTACCCGTACGAACGAATTGATGGCCGAGTTCGGGGAAACCTGCGCCAGGCAGCTATTGACAGATTCTGCAAGCCAGGTTTGTGTTGGACATACTTTCATTTATAGTGTTGGCCTGTTTTGTCACTGTGCAGAGTGCAGGCTTCTTTAATGTTTTGTCAGTTTGAATCTATATTGCTCACAGGTGTTTTTGTAGAGTGTGAATTCACTCTCAAATATAGTGTACGAGCCCAAACTATCATTGAATTTGGGATTATAGTAACCTAACTAAAGCAAAACTAAAGTTAACTTTATTATTTGTTACATACCTTGTCTGCACGACTGTAACGCGCAGGTATATTTAACGCCCAAATTTTCGGAAAATAACTTGATGCCGATTGTACCGCGCAGGTAAAAAAAGGAAGGCTGAACACACCTCATAGAACAGGTTTTATCAAAACGCACGCCAATACAAAAAAAAGCTCGAGGTACACCTAAGCACTTGTTATGAGATGTGAATGCGAAAGCATGCACGCTGCTCTTCGCTCCCTTCTGTCGTCTGCTTCGTACTTGCGTTGACGGTCGAGCGCATGCGCTGACCTTAGGCGTGGAGCCACTGCCTCGCGGACACGCTGCACCATGGGGTGGCGGTTGTTGAAAATGACCCGCAGCACCCAATGGGAGCCTTGTCGACGCACGCCAGCCAATGGGATTGAAGCCGAAATCCATCAGCTTCACTCTGCTCCTTTGGGATCGGGGAAGCTGGGTGCTGTTGTCTAAGCTTTTCACGTGGTTTAATAGCTGGGAGCTGGCTTCACTTGGAGAAGGGATTTAAGGTGCCATTTGGCTTGCTTCAAACTGATAACGTTGGCTCGCTCCATGGGACAGTTAATGCTTTCGCATTAATAAATACCGTGCACTAGCTGCCGTTGTCGGAGTTCGACGATGGTTCTTCGTTGTCCACAAAGGTAATCCTTGCTTTTGTCTAAAGCATTTTAGGTGCCGCGCTTCTTGTGCTCGTACGTGTGCGCGACCGTCGCCTCTAAGAAGGTCGTCGTCAAAACAACTTTGCAAGCTTGTCGGGTCGCTAAGATTGCGAGGCCACACGGCACTGCTCCATTGTTATCCTTTCCCGCCAGCATGATGGCCTTTCGTTTAAAGAATACCTCCTAGTTGAATTTTTTTTTTCTTTTTCCATCTGGAGACTGCAGACACGAATCATAGACACGAGAGAATACGTGTGATACGGATACCAAAATGGCAAATGCAGACAAACGGTCACGATGGCTATGGGGCTAGCCACCTCATACCGAGTATTGCGTTTTTCTTTTTGAGTTTCGGTTTCTGGTTTCGATTGGAATGCACATGTATTTTTAAAGACCGATTTCGGCGAAAAAAAGTGTGCGTTACAATCGTGCAAACACGATAGTCAAAAGAAAGTTTCACTGTGCTGTGTCGTGATCCTGCACTGTAGTGGTTTCAGGGCAATTATTAACTGCTTCAAAAATCCTCTTGTGTGAATCTGTTCCTACTGCAGCGAGTTTTGATGAAAGTGCAATTTCAATTTACCTGTCTCAGATTTCTGAAGCTTGTTTCATTGGTATAGTGTTTTTACCTATTTGTACACATCGCGACACTGTTAGCGCGAACACGACATCGGCGCATTTTCGCATTTTACTTCTAAATAGCATTAGCAAGCAAGACATTTTGTCGTTTACGTTGTAGAACTAAATGAGCTCTTTCCGTAGCAATAATAACTTGAATGACATCCCTTGGTTTAAAGAGAAAAAGTGAAAAAAATCGGCGATCACTTGTTCGCGCTAACAGTGTCGCGCTCTGTACCTCTCTGCGAGGGCTGCTTATTTTGGTGTGAAGCCAGTTGTAATTAATGGTGATTGGTTTTCAATTATTTGTAAGCAGATATTGGAATAGCTGTGTTGTGCAAAGAATTGATTTCCAAATATGATGAACACTCTTGTTAATTGCAACAAATCTTCTATTTTCTAAACAGTTCATACAAATGGCAGGTTGAGCAAACTTTTTCCAAATGTGGCACCCACAAATTCTCATGCGCTCCCTGTGATCAATGAGATCACCCCTCCTACAGAGCTTTTAGCAGCCCTTCCACTGGTCGACCATTCCTTGTGGAGGCATTATTTGTTAACTAAGTGTTTGATGCTCTTTGCGGACTGAAACGTCGGTAGGGAGGCTGGTGAGTGCTCTAATGAGCTGGGGTAATCCGTTGTGTTTGCAGACTCGGACAGGTTTGTGTTCCTCCTGTGCACCCGGGCAGGAGGCTTGGGCATCAACCTCACTGCCGCTGACACTGTCGTCATCTTCGACTCTGACTGGAATCCACAAAACGATCTACAGGTGACGTTGAGCAGCTGTCTCCATCTTGTTTGCCCTGCAGTACTTGGTTGTGCTGGGATGATTTGCCATGCTAATACCGAGCGGTGCCAATCCCTTCGGCGACTACTCTGGGTGAAAACTGTCTCAATGCTTCTGAGCACAACCACCGAGTTCATAATTTCCCAAATTGTCTTCTATTCTTAAGCATTAATATTTGCTAGCTTTTATTAGACTGAATTTTCTTTTCTTTTTTTTTTTTTTTGCAATTTGACTGTGGTTTTTGCATGTTGTGAATGTTTGTCTCTCCTTTATGGATGGGGAAACAGGCACAAGCTCGCTGCCACCGGATAGGTCAGTCAAAGGCGGTCAAGGTGTATCGCCTCATCTGCCGCAACACCTACGAGCGGGAGATGTTTGACAAGGCTAGCCTCAAGCTAGGTTTGGATCGGGCTGTCCTGCAGTCTCTGAATGCACAGAAGGAGAATGTTGGCATGGTGGGTCCCTCATTTGTTGGTTAGAATGGAGTGTACCATTGTGGCAGTTTAATTTAGTATTTATGAAGAGTAAAAGCTGAAGCTGTAGAAAATATGTCTGCTAAGGTTTTTCTTTTTTTCCTTTGGCTTGGCGGATTTTTTTTTCTAGATTCCAGGCAGCATCATTTTTTCACGGTTGCTGTAGTTGAAATGCTGCAACAAATGCACAAAATGTGGCAAAGCTCATTAACATTGATTAAACCCGTATAAGGAATTTCTTCTTGAGGAGCAACGTCTGCTACTTATGCACATATGGTTTATGTCTGAGCATTTTGGGAGAAAATTTAGCAGGCAGTTAAGCTGTTGGAGGAAAATCTTACTATCATCATCTTGCAACCTCTAATAAGCTCTTGCACTCTTTTGTCTTTTTATGAAAAAATAATTTTCTTATTATGCTTGACTAAATACTTAATTTGAAAAGATGACTAAGCATTTGTTGCTCTGCAGAATCAACAGTTAACGAAGCAAGAGATTGAAGATCTGCTTCGCAAGGGAGCCTACGGGGCCATCATGGATGACGACGCAGATGGAGAGAGTTTTTGTGAAGAAGACATTGACCAGATTTTGCAACGGCGCACACACACCATCCAAATTGAGTCCGAAGGGAAAGGGTCCACTTTCTCTAAAGCATCCTTCACGGCCTCCTCTACTCGCAGCGACATTGAAATTGATGACCCTGACTTCTGGGAGAAGTGGGCCAAGAAGGCCAACCTGGATGTGGATGAACTCAAGGGCAGGGTATGCACTGTTTGAGCTTGCATCCCCTATGGTGGTTTTTGCGCACCTCGGTGGTGAAAGCCTGGCCGATTGTCAGGATCAGGACTGCCGAAGCCTGACGAGCCTTTTCCCTTTCCTGCGCAGAATGAGCTGATCCTTCAGGAACCAAGGCGACGCACTCAGACAAAGCGATTTGGAACAGACGACAACATGCTTGATCTCTCGGAGCTCGAGTCGAGCGACGAGGACGACGAGTCTGGGATGCGCACCCGAGGCAGCCGCCGATCGCGCCACCGAGACTCTCCCCTGGTGGGAGGCCGCCATCGGCGTGGGGGCCGTTCCGGCCGGGGCTTTTCCGAAGACGAGTTTTTGGGTGACATTGCTCCCGGCAACTGGACTCGTACCGAGTGCTTCCAGGTTGAGAAGGGTCTGCTCACCTTTGGGTGAGTCGTCTCGCTCGAGACTGGGCCCCAACTGTGCTTTGGGATTCCAAAAAGCGCATTGCTTCTAGGTGGGGACGGTGGGAGGAGAGCATAGCCATCGGGCTTTGGCGACGCCGAGTGTCTGCAAAAGATGTGGAGGAGATATCCAGAGTCGTGGTAAGCCTCATGGATTGTATATATGTCGGGGCTTGCTTCATTCTCTGCACCGTGGATGCCGTAGAAATTACACGTGCCCACTGAGTTTGTTCTTCGCAATTGCGATTCAGGCCAGCTACGGTGAACTGACCGCACTGTTCTCTTTGGCAGCTGCTCTACTGCCTACGTCACTACAAGGGGGACGAGAAGATCAAGGGTTTCATCTGGGACCTGATTGCACCCACCGAAGATGGAGAGACCAAGATTCACAAGAACCATTCTGGTGAGTGAGCAATTTTGTCTTCCCTTTTGAGATGCGTGTTGCATTGTAGAGTGTTTCACTGTGACTGTCCTCTGTGCAGGTTTGTCTGCGCCGGTGCCTCGGGGTCGCAAGGGCAAGAAACTAAAGAATGGCAAGGGCGAGCCCGATTCACCTGACATGCTGGCTGACTGGGCTCGTGAGGACCAGTACAACCCGGATGTCCTGCTCTGCGACGACGGCTACCGCAAACACCTGCACCGGCACGCCAACAAGTAGGTGGCTCATTGTTTAGTCATTTTCAATGCTTGACAGGCAGTGTGTCACTTGTGGGTTCCCGCCTTCCAGACAGCACCTGCTGGTATGGGCCAAACTTTTGCCGAATCAAAAATTCGGTGCCGAATCGTAGAATTCAACGGTACGTCTGGTAACAATGCATTTTTGCCAAGTCTTTGCCGAATTTTTAGTAAAGTTCGGCAAAAGTTCAGCTTTGCCAAACTTTTCTAAAGATTCGGAAAAAATGCATTGTTACCAAACTTACCGTTTATAATTAGCTTTTTCTAACGAGAAAATGTTTTATGGTTTTTTTTTTTCTTAACTTAAATGCAACATGTAATGCATATTGACACAGTTATTATTAAATAAGGTGATAGTCTACAAGATAATTGTATCGGTGTTGTTTTTGTATGTTTACTGGCAATTTTACAGTGGCGTGACAACGAGGTTGGGTAATAGCGGGCGCTGTCACAAATCACGATATGAGAGTTTCGGTCTTGAGGCTTCATCAGCGCAAGCCTGCAAGTGTGTGTACATTGTTAAGATGGATGCAATGACACTGCATTCTTACTTTCTCTGGGAGTCACCATTTCGTGCGTGAAAGCAAATGCAACAATTGCTGAGCCTTCACCAGAAGAGATAACATTATTGTAAATATGCATGTTTTTCGATTTGAGTCACTTGACGTCAGCTTTGCATGAAAGTGTATGTCCCATATTCGCAACGTCTTGTTTTTAACCTTTAAAAGGCCGGTTTCTGGTGTTAGGACACACACGGATGTTTAAGAAGATGGGAAGAGTTAGGAATGTCGGATGTGCAACGTCGAGCATTATAGTTCTGTGTTTAGTATTATGCAGATACGTGAAAACTGCAAAATTACGCAAATTAAAAAGCCATTTTGTTTGGCACAAACTACTTCCGAGCCGAAAACAGGATTGGTATGATTGCGAGGAGAGTAATTGTCAGTCAGTGTTTCAACTACCTCATTGCATCACTGGAAAGGTCAGATGAAAATCACGTTATCCAGAATGTTCCGCATCATTTGTCACTTGTGCGTAAATTACAGGTCGATCTTCTGCTCTTGAGGCAGAAAATATTGAAGAAAACCATACTCGCAAAGGCTCACAAACACGCAGTTAGGTACTATGTTGCCTACTCCACACCATGCCGTAACTGCTGGTTGTACCACACTGTACGATGGTAACCGCAGAACTGCACGGTGTCCATTTGCAATCCATGGCCCCGTTGCATTCTCGCACGGGGCACAGACACTTGCCGAATCTTTGCCGAACTTTCCTTCAAAAGTTCGGCATGTGCCGACATTTGCTGAATTTCAAGTTCAGCAGATTTGTTCCATCCCTAGAATTAATCTCACGGTTTAAACTACAGGGTTTTCTCATCAGCTTGTCTGCATACTTTCTCTTTGCCCAACACATCCAGATCTTTGTTATGTGTTCACACCTGCACTTATGCGCTTTACAATTTGCCTTATAATGGTTCATACCTCATCAAAAGAGAAATACAGATCTAATTTTTAGTAACATTCTGTACAGGTCGCTGTGTTTCGGTAGAAAAATTGTTCTTTGTTTGGAGCGATTGACTAAAAGGAACACAAGCCAAAGTTTTGGTTGGAGTTTACCATTGAAATATCGATAGAGCCCTCTAAGATAAGGGCTTGTACAGTATGAACTCGTTAAGATACGCCTTGATAGTGATATAGATTTTTGTCTGTTTAAACAAAGTATGCAGAATGCAGATAGCTCCTCATATAGACTTTGAGGTGGATTATGACTGCAGTCTGGTCTAACCAGTGAGATTGATGGAATGAGAATGGATATTAGAAAAGAACTGGTTTATTGAAATTTCTGAACTTTAAAGGATTGTGATTTTTTATTGAGCTGTACTGATGATCGTCATCACTGTGTACTTTGGACCATACACGGCTCTGGGTGCCGACCGCGATGACAGTAATTAGCAAAATGGATGCCACTGCTACCAAACCAAAGTTGCGTTATGTTTAGAATAATGACTGCTGTCGAAGAGTCTGCTATAATGGAATGGTGAACTACATACCAACTTTCTAATATGCCATAAAATACTGTGGAAGTGCCCACTTCGTTCAAGTGCCCACTGTTAACATTTCCTAAACTTGGGATTTCAGCAAATTATACACGAAGTGCCTAATTTGACCGGGCAAGAGCCCATGTCTAGATTAACACAGTTTTTAGTGAAAGTGGGGTGGGCACTCCCCCGGTATTTTACAGTAGTCCATTAATCCGAATGTATGTCGTAACAAAATCTGTAATAAACAAAGTGTGCTCGAGGACAAAGATAGTAAGACCAACCAAACTTAACAAATCAGTAGCTTCGTTCGATTTACCTACGCCTCCTGCACCGGTGCAGAAGAGTGGAGAGCCGTGTACTTCGGGTGTGTGTATTGAGATACGACCGGAAGTACACCGCCCGACACCTTTCTGCACCAGTGCAGAAGGTGCAGGTAGATGGAACAAAGCTAGTATGTTACAACCGAATGTCTGCTGTAACCAAATATGTAGTAATGAGGTTAAACTGTAGTAGTTAGTATTCTACGTAAGCTCGTTATTAACTGCTTGACGGTTGAGTTTTTTTTCCCAAAAGATGTTTCCCAGTGGTTGTGAGGTTTTGTTTCCAAAGAAATAGTATAAAGAGGGCCAATCCAAAGGTTTTTCTTCAATTTTTTAGCTGGAGCTCGTACAGTGCTAGCAAGCTGTTTAGCTTTAGAAGCATCAAATCGAAATTTTGATGGCTAAAAGTTGTCGCATTTCTTCCATTCAGTTTTATCTTGGCGCATCCACTTCCGCGACATTCCAGCGGCTTCAGATTCCAAACCGGAGGTACTTTACAGAGCTTCTCCGTCGGATGATGAACTCTCATCCTCTGAATTTAATTCCGAAAAGCATTGAAAGTCTGAATCGGAAGAACCAGTGCTCCCATTGGCACTACCGCCAGAGCGGCCGGTATGCGAAATGAGTATCACGTGCGCGGAACGTCTAATTGGCAAACTATAAATAACCCAGCAAAGCGAACCACTGTGGGAATATGATGTTTCTAATTTACCAAAGACATAACAAATAGCAACACCTACCACGGTGTGCTCTTTCGCATTTAGGTGGGCACTTTCAACCACCGTACATGTACGGCAACGACCGTCAAAGGGTTGGAAGGTGTTGCTAAGCCATCTGTTTTTCAGTTTTCAGTTAACATGGCATCTGAAAGTTATATTGTACTTCAGGTTTGTCTAAGGCCAATTTCCTATTTGCCTCTTCAGGGTCCTCTTGAGAGTGCGCCTCCTCTACTACCTTAAGCACGAGATCATTGGTGAACTGCACCAGCAAGTCTTTGCAGGAATGCCAGCCAGGTGAGCAGCGCTTAAAAGCACGTTATGTCGTCTTTGTATTGGAAAGAAGCAGTATCCCACCCCACTGTGGGCAGAAGCATTGCATCTATCCAACAACTGGTTACAGGGACATTCCCATCCCCCCACCGACGGCTGATGGGGAGCCTCCCTGTCCCTGGTGGGATGAAGAGGCCGACAAGTCCCTCCTCATTGGCGTCTACAAGCACGGTGAGCATTTTCACCTCCATCTTGTGTTCAAACGTACGGGGTCCTGACATGTGCGTCTGGTTGCAGGCTATGAGCGGTTCAATCTGATGCGACAGGACCACACACTGTGCTTCCTTTCCCGTTGTGGTCCTCCTGACGGGGCGGCACTTCTTGCCGAGATGACCGCGTGAGTCGAGTGGTTTCCTTCTTTGCCGACCTGCCAGCCTTCCGGCCTCTCTAGTGCTCTAAGGAAAAGTTTTCTGGCACCAGGAATCCCGAGGACCTGGAAGATAAGCGAGAGGAAGGCAAGAAAGACCCAGATGAAGAGGAACCTGTGTCTCCGGAGCCCTCGACCTCGTCGGAGCCCAAACCGCCCTCAGAGCCGTCTGAGCAGCCCGTGGCTGTCGAGGTGCCCCAGGCAACCGCACCTCCCGCTCTCCAGGTGCCAGGTGAGAGTCCCGTTAGCTTGGAAACTCTGGGGCCAAGGGATTGTTTCCGCTCTTTTGTGTTGCGTCATAAACAGTGACTAACTCGAGTATCGAGTGTCTCAAAGGAAAGTCAGCGCTTTGTGGGAATTAATGCTGTAGTTTCTATATGCGGGTCAGGCGTTCATGGCCTTGCAGCATGTGAGCCTTTGGAAAAAAACAAAAACAATGGCACACAATTGAAATGGTTTTGAGGCCTGAGCCTGAAACAACCTAACTGCAATTTCAATGGTAGGAAAATTGCACTGTTTACACTCCCTAGCCTAGATGCCATAAATGTTAGTGTGAGCTCATTACAGCTTACAGGTATTAAAACATAATGTAAGGATTTGTGACGTCTGGTTGGTTTTCCTCTCTGTTTATAGTGTGCTCTCGTACGCATCATTATTAATGATCTTTGTTGGTAGCTCTGTCGGCTTGTTCCCCTTTCATTATAACAGACTTGGCCCATCACTTGATTTTCTTTAGTGGCAAAAAAATTTAACGCAGAATTTCTTTCATAATAGTACTTGCACATTATGCATACACATAAGAACATAAGATGCAAATTGCAGTACTTTAAGAGTTGGTCATTGTAGCTGACATCTTTTGTGCCCCATCTTGTGCTAAAATTTGTGTTGCGCAACAGGTGAGATGGGCACCCTGGAATTTCCGTCCCCCTCGGACTTGAACACACGCCTTCGCCGCATCATCACCATGTACCAAAGGAATCACAAGAAGCGGGAGCTGATCAACGCTCAGCGAGCCAGGGTGCGTTCTCTTTGTGCTCCACTTCAGATGGGGGTGGCTGTCTTCAGAGGTGCTGCTTGAACGACGAGTTGTAGGCAAAATTGGTTCTCTACAAACTAGATGTGAAGGTGTTCGAAGCCACAGCACTTCTCTGGCTTGCTTGAGGGAAAAGAAAAGTAGATGGTAACAGATGAGTTAGCAGAATTGCAGGGTAGCAGTCATTTTTGCAGAGCAATCGACAAAGGAGGCCAAAGGGGTCTTGCTTATTTCTACAATCAAGATACAGAGATCACTAGATTCGGCTAGGAATTTTAAACTAAAAAGTTATGTTGTGGCGTGCTTAGGTGAACATTCAACTTGCTGAATTCACTGATGCTGCTAACTGAAAATAAGAAAATAGCTGCTAACTAAAAATAACATCTTTTTTTTTTTTTTTTTTTTTTTCCAGACCGTCACTTGGTGTCTGTTTTGTTTAGTCTTGTGGAAGGAAACAGCATTTGTAATTGCAGTCATTTTTTTTTTTTTTTCCAAACATGCTTTTGAAGGATGTTGGGGAAACATGCACTCAGAAGATCAATATGTTTTTGGTGCATTTAGAAGCAGACATAGAATTTACCAAATTTTATTTTGGGAATTTCACTGGTAAAAATGATTGAGTGTGCATAAAAGTTTACAGAAAGGAATGGAAAACATAACAGACACAAAAGGCTCGGGAATTAGTAACTGTTTGTGTCTGGGCAGAGGGGAAAGTGTCCAGGTGACCAACTCGAGTGAGTGGCCTGGCCTTCCCCCTAGGGGCTCGTTGATCTGTCTTGTGGGACACAAATGCGACGAGTGAAGCTAACCCCATGAACATTTGACAGGAAGGGCGTGATCTGTTGCGTGAGTGTATTGTATGCGTTGCCGGTGGCCCTGGCGAGACATTAAAAAGCGTTTTCTTGGTTGTGCCTCCTCTTGCAGAATGCAGCCTATCAGGTAGGATGCCATTTGAATTTTGGAAAGCCTCTTGTTGTCTCTGCCGCTTCTAGGAGCTTTGTCCTCCTCTCTGCTCTTGCCCCAAGTGGCGTCCTCTCCCGGTTGTGCAGTCCTCGCACCCTCCGCCCTTGCGCTCCTTGGCTGGTCGGAGTCACTCCCCACCCCCCTGTCTTCCCGCCATGGCTGGCTTGTTGCCCCATGCTTGTGCCAGCGTGTTGCTCCCTGTCCTCCCTCTGCCCTCATTTGCCCCGGGTTCTCGGTCAGCGGTAATGAAGTTAGGGCGACCTTCCTTGCTTCTGCCAGTCTCAGCTGGGGTTTGGTTGAACACTCTGGCCAGGCCCGGTGGAACTTTCAAAATTGCAGTTTTGAACTCGTCATTCGTTCGAGGATGTGCGAAAAGATGGACTTGTTCATATCCTCACTTGGTAGTCGGGCTGGTGGTCTTGTCAGAACCAGGGCTTTACTCTCTGTCATAGCCTTGCCAGGGAAATCAACATTTCCCAATTTAGGTTAGTTGATTCTGCCTTGTTTGTTCCTTCGTTGGCTTGGTTATTCACAGATTCTCTTGCTCTTCTCCCTGTACACATGCAATTGTCTGGGGTTGCTTACTTCCTTTTGTCGTAACGGTGCTTGTCGCAAAAATTTTTGGACATTTGCTATGCAGAGTATTTCTTTCTCCTCGGGCAGCTAGATAGTGAGACGAAATTGAGGCTGACAGTAATATGCTGTGCGGCTGCTTTGAGCTGCATTCTTTAGCTTATTTTTTAAATTGCTCTTGCCATTGCCAGCAGTCGGTACTCATTCGGAGCGTTGCCCCTTTGGGTGTTCCCTTAGCTGCTGCTTTTGCCAGTTTTCTAACCCCGGTATTAAGTGCATGGCACTTGTTTTTTCTTTTGAATTGTGCAGGCATTCCCCTTACCCAATATGCTACCCTCATGTTGGCCCTGGGACAGCCCTTTGTCATGCATGGATGTGGCAGTGATTGTTGCCTCTGTTTTGTTTCTCACCTTGGTTATGGGATTTGTGTGTGGTGTTGGCCTTTTAATAGTGTCTCTTTTGTTTGCTTAGTTTAGATGGGAGCTAGAGATTTGCATACCTTGTGCACCATAGAAATTTTGCGCGGTACCTGATCACCCTAAACTTTGTGATGCCAGAGGCTTGAGGCTAGGGGTGGCCAACCTTAGGCATGCTGCCAGAGGCGTCGGAACTATTCAGGAGATTGGGGGGGGGGAAGGGGGGGGGGGGGGGGGCGAAGGCGAATTTGCACCTCCTCTCCTGTATTGTTTCCATTAAATTTCTGAACTGTCTGGGGGGTTCGGTCCTGCCCGCCCTATTCCGACGCCACTGCATGCTGCAAACAGTTTAGCATGTAGCATCATTCAGAGGGGCACACCAAGTCTGTTTGAGAGAAAGGTTAGATGGGGGAGGGACGAGGTGAATTACGCAATTGAATGCCAAGGGTGTGTAATGGCTCGGTCAGATGTTAGAGATGTGTCCAAGGCTGGCCACCACTATCTTTGGTGAAGGACCTTGTTCCATGCCTATTGAGGGTCAAATGAGTCCATGAGTGCTCAGTATTCCGTATCAAGGGTGCAGTTTCAAGGCCTTTCCCACTCACTTGACTAGTGTGAAAGTTAGGTACTAGCTGCACCATTTGATTGCCAGCCTTGCCCCTTTTGACCGTGCTGTTGTCAAGTTCATACAATTGGAGAGCATGGTCATGCAGTGCAATGCCAGTGTCTGATTGGTTTAACGTACATACTGCTTCTACTCTACCAGCAGGTTAGATGTAAATAGAGTGATGCATATATCCGCTCTTGTTTTGTTTAATTTGTTATTGGAAATTGTTATTTGAAGCAAGCTCAAATATTCTTGAAAGTCCTCAACAGGTGTTAGCCATCCTAAAGAATCTTGCAGACATCTAAGATGGCAGTGGCGTGCCTTCCCAAATGATGAGAGTGCCTAAAACCTGGTGCAAGGGATCTGTTGTATGCTGCAAGATGAAAATGGAGGCCATTAAAGGCTGATGCCTGCGATAAGCACCAGTGTATTTTAAATCAATTTGTTGGACGCTGTACAATAAAAACTGGAAGACCTGATTATGCCCATGTAGGTAAGATCATGAATCTAGCGCTTTAAGGTTTATAAAGAAATAACTTGTTCATTGGTCAACGTACAAACTTGCTATCACTGGTGGCAGCAGCTACTGTGCTTGAAGGTAGCTTTGTTGCAGTGGTAGCTTTGCATCATAGCTGTATTTAAAGGAACCATGAAATGGAGGCTGGCAGTGATTCTTTGCAGGATTACATTAATGTAAGGTTTCTTACATATTCCTGTGGTGCATCCAGTGCTGCAATAAGATACTAGTTGCCAAATATTCTTTTATTGAAATTGAAGGAAAGAAAATTCTAAAGAATTTTCTTTCCTTCAATTTGCTTATTTCAATGTTTCAGCCACCAGTGAGCCACGCTACAGTGCCAGTCCTTCATTTGTTGGTTTGTTTCAGTGAGGAGAGTTACTGAGTGGCGCTTAATGTATCACACTTATGCAGGATTGCTTATATGAGAAGAGATTTTTGAGTAAAGAAGAGCAGTTTGGAGTTTCATCTATGGTTTTGCAGAAAGTGTGTACTTGCAAACAAAAAGGGATATCTGTTCTGTGCTTTACAAGTTTGAATTGTGAGCACTTGGTGATGAAAGTGAAAGAAAATTGCTTCATGGTCCCTTTAAGTTGCATTTTTTAACTGGTAAAGGCAATACTAACTAGATTCTATTTGATTCTTGCATGTGTGGATAGCAGTATTATTACTTATTGCTGTGGGGTTAATGACGTGAACTTTCTTTTTGTTGCAGATTTTAACCACTATTCAGGTGGAGGGTTTTAACTTTGTAAATGTATGCATTCCAATCCATACTGCCATACCTCTCTTTCTGCAACTCTGCTCTTGATGCTGCATTAGGTGTTGCTCTGCTTAGTGCCAACTAGACTTTTTTTTTTTTTCTCTACCATGTTTTGGGCACCATTTTTTTAATTTGTCTGCGGCATTACATAATGTTGGTAATTACAGTTTCTATGGCAGGTGTCCTCGGAATGGAGGCCATATAATACTGTGACCCTCCACATACATTCAGCGTTAATCGTCTGATCTTGAATGCTGGGTTTCATTTGAAGCAACTTTCAGCAGTCTAAGGCATATAGTATTTTTATGTCGTGGGGTGCAATATGTAAAAGATAGCCGACTGAAGTTGCTTATCGAGAGGAGGGCTGCCTTTTGGTATTACTACGCAGCAAAAATTGTTGCATAAGGTTTAAAAGCTTTTCAGCCTTAAATATTTACTCAGCTTGCTTCACTCATACTAACTCAACTTGTTTTTGGTAACAGTATTGGTCTTAAATTATTGGGGGTTGCAAAGCACTGAAGGACATTTAGGCTGACCTACACTAAGAATGTAGGGCAGTTTGATAATTAAACCCATGTTACGGATAAAAAGAATGGTGCGGGATGGCCAAAAACAATGCGCTTTTCGTGTAAGGCTCGTCAAATTACGAGGCGTGAACTTTCTTTTAGGCATTACACAATGTTTGTAATATCAGTTTCTATGGCAGAAAACCAGCCTTCTGCGTTAAGTCCTTATTTCAAACTTTTTTTGTTTGCGTTTCTCCATTGAAAACCATGCGGAAAGCGGCTCAGCATGCACCTCGTATTGCTGCGCTGCAGTGTTCTTCCGCAGCATAAAGGCCGTCTGCTTTCATCGTCGTCACCATGGCAACGGAAGTTTAATCGATGCAAACACTGGGTTGCGTGTAAGCCCAACCCCCGCCTGAGTTCACACCGCTTCGCGGCGACAGTCTGCGGCTGCTCATTACAAAACTATTAAACTTTGGCTAGCAGATGGCGTTCGGAAAATCGGCATTCGTTGGCGTGGTGACGGCGATAAAAGCAAACAGCCGTTATGCTGCGGAAGAACGCTGCAGCGCAGCGATATGAGGTGCGTGCTGAGGCCCTTCCCGCACGCTAACAAAACAAGATTACAAAAAAAATATTTTTTTTTTTTTTTTTTTTCAGTCAGTTTGGTTGGGACACATGTGTTCAGAAAAGAAATTTACGTGCAAAAAGCTTTTTTAGCGCAATATTGACGGCGCAAGATTTATTTCAAATTCTGCGCTCAAAGTCCATGACGCCACGGAATGGTGACACACTTCCCATCTCAACGAGATGGTCATACTCTCTCCCCACCTTAGCGTGATAGCCAAGCCGATCCACCTCTTCTCCACGCGCCCGAAATTCCAAGAGATAAAACAAGTGGGAAGGAGGTGACTATCGACTATATTGTGTCCCGCGCTGTCAATAGTATTGCTCTAAAAAGATTTTTTCTTGCGTAAAATTTATTTCTTGACACGTGTGTCCCCCAGATAAAAAAAAAAAAAAAAACTTTTTCTTTTTTTTAGTGGTCTTTTAACGCAGAAGGCTGGTTTTCTCCAGTGCCTCATAATTTGGCAAGCCTTTCACGAAAAGCGTGTTTTTAGACTGGAATTTGGAGATAGCTTTTTTTACAACATGGGTCTAAAGTATTAATGTGCTAAATGTAGGCTTGTAAGTTTTTTTTTAAATACAAGTTACCTTCATAATTGAGCTCCACTAGCTATTTTTTATGACAATCATTCTCAAATATTAGCCATCATCAATTTAGAACACTCGTTAAAATTAATAAAAATTAAACTTTTTAAAAAAAAATTTTTAGCATTTATATTTTGAGGTAGTTTTTATGCCATCAAATCACTTTGCTCGAATGGTAGAATTGTATTAAAATAAAATAATACCTTTAATTGTTATTTTTGTTTTAGTTTATTGGCACCACACTTCGATTAACCTAGTGGTCGAGTATCTAACTTCAATCTTTCAGATGAAAATTGCTGCCTAATACATTGGCTTCTAGCCATAACTATAATTATACACTTCTTCGACTTGTAAGGAAATTGAGAATCTTTTGGAAAAAGGGAAATGCCGCTTCCCTCCTTTCCTCATGAGCCGGAAATGAATTTGGCGGGTTGGCCTATTTCTTATGGACAGCGCTGCTCGTTTTGTCTTGAGTGGCTTTCTTTCCAGCTTTCCATGTGTGTGTTTCTGTGTGCCTTTGCTTGCTTGTGCAACCCAAGGCCTGTGGTGCAGACTTTCTAATACATCACGTTGACCTTGCAGAGAATGGAACGGAGGGAGAAATTTGAAGCTGCCATCCGTGAAAGAGAGATTCGTAGACTGGAGACTCAACAAAGGTAAGGATTCGTTGTGCTGGACTGCTACACTGTTTGGCGAGTTTCTCTTTGGGTTGCCTGGTTAGACTTTGTTTTCCTATGGTGCTATTCATGCAGTGTTTTTATACCTGGTGGAGGAAAACCTTTTGAAGGGGTTATCTAAATGAAACATCTTGACCAAATCACATTAATGGAACTATGAAATCTGATCTCTCTCTTAAATTTACAGTCACAATGTGCATTTCATCGTTTCTTGTTACAGGTTATCATTGAAAGAAGCTTAAACCGACTTTTTTTTATAATTCTTTGGCAACACTATTGGTCTTGAAATTTTTGAAGGATTATTCCTTAGGTCATTCCTTTGAACCTGTGAGTGCACTGTACCAGTTTCAGCTCTATTGGTTTCTTTTCAGGTGTATAAAAAGCTGTATATTTTGTGCTCATTTGACACGAAGGAGACGTTTTTGGACATGTTCCCAACGGATATTTCTATTTTAGGGTCTTCTACACAAGCACACACTTCATCTAGCGGTGAATGGATCATTGATATTCACCAGCATATGCTTGTAAACAAGCTTTCTACTTTCTACCACAGACTATTGCCAGACCACTGCACACTTTCGGTCGTCTTTTTTCGTTTTCTTTCTTTGCATTCTACTTTTTTTAAACACGTGGAGGTTCTCACAAACGTATTGCAGTTATCCGTTCCTCAAAGAAATATTGTCTTTTCCGATCGTCGTGCCTTGTGGAATCGCAAATAAACGCACGACAAGAAGTCTGCTGAAGCGCAACATACTGTGGCACCCTCGTGTTATCAGCTCCCCTCCGAACATGGGGAATTAAAACTCTCTTTTATGTTTCTGTCAAGAACCGTATTTGGCATCATGAATGTTGAGCCACATAACAGAGAAGCGGCACCAGGTGAAAGCGGAGATTTCTAGAGATTTTGAGACTCAATTTTGGAATGCCAGCTGGAATGGCTGCAATGATTTACCACAAATAGGGAATTTTGAGGCTCTGAGCAAGCATGTTTATTTGAGGTTTATGCCAGAACTTAGCCAGCCGTACTCACCAGTCTTCACTAGTGCCTGTCTAACCACTGACTAACTACACCATTGATTAAAATGATCACGTGGCAGGGGGTAATCACAGCTAAGTAAGCATTCGGTATTCACCGACCACCTTTAGAGCTTAAGGCTGATTCACACACTCGTGGTTGACTCCGACAAAACCTGTTTTTAAGCCTCTTGTGTGTGCTTACGACAGGCAGCGCAGCAGCAGGGATGGCGGTCATAAGTGCAGGGGTGGAACGGCTGCGCTATTTGCGCCATTTTGCGCCAGAAGCATTTGTCTGCACCATACTGCGCCATTTCACGGAAACTGCGCCACAGTCAATACCTTGCGCCATTATGCACGAAATCGCACAACGTGCGCCCAAAACAATTGTATTTTGTCTTGGTTTCAGTTTCTATAGACTCGATTGGCAACAATGAGCACGTTTAGCTTGGTCGGCCTTGCAATCCTTTGTTCTGTTTATTCTCCCTGTGTATCCCGACTCGGAAGCGCGCGAAAAAAACTCGGGGATCGGATTGGAAGCGCTACACTTGCGACTGGATTGTTATTCTTCAACCATAGTGGTTAAGCAAGTCGGCCGAGGTGAGGTCGAGTCGTTAAGCGTCAGATTGCCTGAGGCTCTGCGGCCCAGGATCCGGACTTCAGCCAGTTGAAAACAAATGAGCAAAAGATTCTTTTTAGTACTTCATCGTTAGAAGTTGGAACCGCATTCCCGCAAGATAATTCGTGATTTGATAGAACTGAAACGCAGTCCGATCCGAAACCTTGTCGGCTAGCAGCTGTCACGCGAGCGGTAAATCTGCTCGGCGTACTTTAACCTTGCTCCTGCTAATCGCTTTGAACACGGTAACTCCGTTAATCGTAGTCTGATCCTTCGATATTGAGTTGCACAAAAGGATGAACTCGAAATTTGTTGCCCTGTTCCTCCACGCAACTGCACGTCCGTTGCTTACGCACATCAAGAGGTTCGCACATATAATTACTATGTCGAGCACGTGTGGGTTGTGCGATAAGCAGTGTTGATTTACATTTTGAGCAGCTGAAAGCCACTGAGAAAATATCAAGGACACCATCTTCAGAAACATATGACACTTGCTTTTTGGTTCGCATTAAGGCTCCCAGAGTTTCAAGTTTTCGCCTGTGTTACACTGTTATCCCATCTACCTAGGTTCCTAACCACTCATGTTCATTTGTGCTCCTAAGCACAATTGAAATTGCTCCTGTGCTTGTCTAACACACAAGCTCAAGTGCAATGAAAACTGATTTGAGCTGCTCCTAGCCTGCTCCAGAATGTAGTTTTAGCTGCTCCCAACCTGCTCCAAAACAGCGGTTTCAGCTGCTCCCGTGGCTGCTCCCAAATACATTTCATGAGCTCCACCACTGTAAGTGGCTTAAAAGCTGGTTGTGTCGGTCGCAATGCACTCGAACGCAAATTTATGAACCAGCCTTCAGTCGCCCTAAGCTTCAGCCCTCCTTCCAGATATTTCGGACAGTTAAAGAAAACAATACGGGGAAAGAGGGCGTGGTTGAGCTTATTTTAATCTGAAATTATTTATGCATATTTATAGCTACTGTCGCTCTTCACTGCATAAAAGATTGCGTAGATGGTCATTGTTAGAAACTCGTTGTCAGAAAGCACTACTCGTCTTATGCTTAGTGGTTCGGAAGTTCAAAGCTATGTCTTTACGACCTAAATGACTGTGCCAATGGAAAAAAAAAAAAGCATATTAATATTTGCTAAAATAAAAAGCTAGAAAAAAAAAAAAAAGAACTATCAAGAATTCGCAGGAAATGTTGCATTCTTGCATATTCAGAGGTTCAGAACTTCGAAACAACTTTCTCCTACCAAAATGTGTACAAGCTAAAAGAAACACGTCCCAAAAACGTGAAGCGAAAAAAAAAAAAAAAAAAAAAAAAAAAAAAGTTTTTTTTTAATGCTGTGCTGAACTTGAACAATATTAGAAATCTTCTCTCATGAGTTTTTTTATCCCTGAACGTGAAAAAACAATAAATACATTATTTTGTATTCTGCAGATGGCAATGACATGTACTGTCTGTGGTGTTAATTTAAATGTGATACCTCAAACAACTTAGACGAAAATAAACACCAAGTTTAGGGCATAATTGCATGTAGATACATGTTTGGACATTTCTTCGAAACTCACCTTAAATAACAGTAATCATATCTTCAGACGACACTTACCTAGGCTATACAAGATCATTTTTAAAAAGTTTAACATCTCTTCCATAAATAGCTTCGGCTACATCGCGCTTCAAATCTGGCACAAACGATAATCGTCAAAAACCCGTCGTCCTTCCTCGCTCCTTCGGGAATTTATTTCTTTAAAACTAAGCATGCCAGAACATTGAAATAAACGGCATTGTCTTTCGTAAAGAACGCAACACCACATGTAAAAATTCGAGAAAAAAATTACCAATGTACCTCACTACTTGAATTCAAATGAAACCGTCCGTCGGTCTTTCGAAGTTCGACGAACGTCAAACTTCTAAAAAGTTTGAAGTTCGTCGAACTTTTGACTTTTCAGGATTCGAAAGTTCGAAACTTTTCGAATTCTCTTGATAAATAAGTTCGAAAGTTTGAAAATTATTGAATTCCTTAGCATAAGAAATTCGAAAGTTCGAACAGCTTCAAATTTTTTAGTGCAAGAAATTCGAAAGTTAGAAGATCATCGAATTTTTTGGTCAGTCAAGTTCGGAAGTTCGACAAGCATCGAATTTTGCAGCGTGATAAGTTCGAAAAGGATCGAATTTTTTAGCGTAATAAGTTCAACAGTTCGAAAAGCGTCTAACTTCTTAGCTTAACAAGTTCGAAAATTCGACTTCCGTCTAATTTTACGATATAGAAAATTCGAAATCTTTCGAACCTTCCGAACCGCTTGATTCAATCATCGAAACTTCGATTCGAAAAAAGTTTGCGGCATCCCTAGTCATGTGCAAATGGTGGATTTTGAGTTTGAAGCAAATTCGAAGCAAATAGTGGTTTTGGTTGAACATTTTTAATTTAATATTGAATAGTTTCTCTAAGCCTTTCACTACTGCACCATTCTCAAACGAAAACCCAGCTGAACTTGGTAAAAGCTGTTCATTTGTTCATTTCTAAACTAAATTAGTTTTAAACAGACTACTATATTTATCGACTGTGGGCTCAGAAAATTCAATGTCTACATTGGGTTTGCAAGTAAATGACACATTTTACATCAAATTAAACCTAGGATACCCAGCTATACCTAATCGAGAGGATTTATATATGTTCTTGATTGATTGATTGACGAATGATTAATGCAGGTTGTCAGGACGTCTCTGCTTCACATGTATTCATGCATAATAGCATGTGTAATTTTGAAAAGTTTTGTGCGATGTAGGTATCAGCATTCACAGAGTTTTAATTTCTTTTTCTATACACCAGACGCGTGCGTGCATCATTCCGCTTTGAAAGTGTGCTTTCCTTCTAAGCAAGCGGTTGCACTATTTGTACTTTTCAAGCTGTTGATCGCACCGGTTTAGTCCCATTGAGTGTGCTTCTTACTGAGCACCGTTGCACTTGGGAGGAGCAACATTGCGGAAGCAAGCTCTGCGGATGTTGCCTCTCGGCGGTGCACCGGTGCTCCGAAAAAAGCGTGTTCAGCGGCACTGACCTGCTGCGATCAACACTACCCAAAAAAAAGTGAATGTTTGAACCACTTGTCTGATTTAAATGACATTTACAGGGCTTGTTTCTGTTGATATTGAGAACATTTCTGCCCAATTTTGTTAACCTGGGTGAAGTACAAACAAAATTGCAAATGTTCAAAGGTGAAAGTGAGCGTGTCTGGGTAGGAAAACTATCGTTTTTAAAATACTTATAAATTTGTTGTTTTTATGTGTTATATTGCTTTAGGACAGTTCAGAGCAGATAACTACGGAGCTATATTTCTATATTATACCATCTTTCATGACAAAAAAGCCACATACACACAAATACTCTTTTAGATTTCCATCCCTTGTCCAAAATTTTAGTTCTTGATCATAAGAAATGACAAAAATAAAAAATACAAGTCCATAGCTATTTTCGTAAAAATTTCACCCCAGAAAAACTCATAAAAATTAATCCAAGCTACATAATAACAAAACAATAGTTTTCCTAAAGTGAAATTTATACCATAAAGTGGAATAGAGAAAAATGTTTTTAAAGGGCTCCAACCTCTAGCTTTTCATTAGCATCGATGGACCGAAAATAATTTATAAAAAAATAACTATGCAATGTAAACTAATAAAACTTTCTGGTAGTACTTTCTAGATCGTGGTGGATGTAAATATGACATTTTTCAAAATCAACTTCTTTTGCAGAATTTTTTTTTTTTTCTGGGTACTGCCCCCCCCCCCCCCCCCCCCACCCCTTAATAAATATTAATATTGCAGTTCACATTGAAGCGAATGTTGAGTAGCATATATTCTAAATTGCTAGTACTAGAAAATTTTAATATTTGCACAACACTAGTCTTTGCTATACCTACAAGCTGCCCGCACTTTTGGCTTTTTTTTATTATTATTGCACTAATATACTAATCATGACTTTGCTTACTAGCATACTGAAGTACAGCTGCAACGGAAAAAGAGTAGCATAAGTGACCGATGACAGGAGCGGCAAAAAGGCGACACGAGGCGCTATTGTTCCCGAGCGCGCCGATAGCGAGAGTGCCAGTCACGTTCAGTGTCACAACGCGGGGGGTGGCCGTCAGAAAATTGAGGGATAAGATAACATTCGAAATGCGGGCTTTAGGATGGGTTGCTTTCTGTCGGCCACCCCCGCGTTGAGGCATCGAACGTGACTGGCACTCTCGCTATCGGCGCGCTCGGGAACAATAGCGCCACGTGTCGCGATTTTGCCGCTCCGGTCGTCGGTCACTTGTGCTACTCTTTTTCTGTTGCGGCTGTACATTGTGCATTATGGCAGTGTAACTCCTTTGTATGGATTACTTTCTTTGACTTTTGTGTGTAGTCTTGTACATTTTGCAGTAGTCTTTGAGAATGGAAGCTTGTGCGAACTTGGGAATGTGCTCAGCTGGGCTGAGAGTGGCACTCTCTTTTCCTCCCTTAGGTGGTCACGGAGAGAAGAGGCGGAGTTTTACCGAGCGGTGTCCTGCTACGGCGTGGACTATCGTAGCCAGGAGCAACGTTTTGTCTGGGACGGCTTCCGTACGGTGGGACGGCTGGAGCGCAAACGGGACGACACCCTGACGGAGTACTTCCGCTCCTTCCGTGCCATGTGCCGCCGCGTGTGTGGCCGCAAGCTGGGCGAGGAGGACGACAACCTGCAGTATGTGGTGGAGCCCATCTCGGAAGAGCGTGCCACACGCTGCCTGCAACGCATCGAACTGCTCAGCAAGATTCGAGAGGAGGTGTTGCCGCACCCGGAACTGGAAGAGCGACTCAAGCTGTGCCAGCCGTCCATGGACCTGCCAGACTGGTGGATCTGTGGCCGTCACGACAAAGACCTGCTCATTGGCGCAGCCAAGTGAGCACTTTCTTTTTACGAGGCTGCGCTCGAAGCTGTCTGCTTTGACGTCTTGCACGGCGAAGATCGGTTGAGCACCGATTTCATATTTTCTGGTACACGAACGTGTAGTCTGGTGCAAAGAATACTTCTGACTAACCGTGCATTTTTTAGTATTAGACAAAATTCGAGAATATGTCCACGCACCTTGTTTCGGATCGACTCGTTCTCTTGGACGGAGAAATTATTGAGGAATGTAGTCTCATTGGTGGTATCTGATAAATTTGTTGCGTTTGCAGCAGCGGTAAGGGGTACTGTCTGTGCACTTGCAGGTATGGTCTCAGTCGCATGGACTACCACCTACTCAACGATGGTGAGCTTTCCTTCCGCGACGTCGTACGGGCGCAGGCTGCCGCGAAGCCACCTGTGGTTGTCATCAGTCATGGTCCTGTCCTTCCTGCTGCAGCACCTACAGGTGCGGTCATTGTTCGTTCTATTGAACTTCCGTTTGTTCAATTGGATGGCAACATTTTTGGAGCTTTGTACCGCAGCCCATTTCTAAGTCGATTTCTCATGGAACAGTGGTTCTTAAAGGGGGTTCCGTGGACCCGCTGGGATCCATGAAGCTATTTTCGGGGTCCACGAAGCCCTCACCTTAACCCCTAACCCCCCCCCCCCCCCCCCCCCCTCCTCACTTCTTTAAAAAAAATAATTAATTTTTTTTGTTGACTCTGGCTAGGTGATGCAAGCTACTGCCACTTATAAAGGGTACCGCCGTTACCATCTATTTATCAATTCATCCGTTTACTTGATGCTTCTCACTTCTGTCTATAACACTAAAGGATGCCCCTTTCACTGCAATTGTCTTACTTTATATCCCTGCCCCTTCTACGCTTGCATGGGTTCCTCCGTCACTATGCCAGGTCCCCGGGGGGTCCCCGACACATCCATGCTTTTGAGAACCACTGTCGTAGGGAAAGTTTTTGTTTATTTCAGTGTAGTTTATTCGACCAAAGCCATGTCAACATCTCTTTGGGAGGAAATCGCAATTTTGCATATAATCGTAATTTTTCAATATATGACCTACCCGGTCAACACTTAGCTTAGTAAAACTTGTCTCCTGACAAATTGTTCTGTGTTTAATGTAAATGTTAATTCTGTTAGAAGCCCGAAACATTGTGTTTTATTGATGTTGTCATGTGTTTAAATGTTTATTTGTAGTTTTATTAAGTCGTATACAGTTGGAACTCGATCTAACGAACCCCGATCTAACAAAATTCGCGATTTAACTATATTTTTTGTGTCTTCCTATCTTGCTTTCATTGAAGACAGTATATTTTATCTCTTGATTTAGCGAAATACTTGTGCGCTGCAGTTTCGATTTAACGAAAGTTTTTGGAAATCGCACGTACACATATCGGCAACCTCCACGAGAAAGAAAAAAAAATTAAAAAACAAATCTTATTGTTGAAAACTAGCATAGAAATGTGCGGTCATTAGCTTTTTCACAAAATAAAAAAAGCACACCGGTGGTGAGGATAATAATAATGAGTAGCCTCGTAGCCTCTGCCTCTCGTGGAAAAAATAATGTCCACCATTACATGCACCTACACCCAGCGAACTACAGCTCTTGCGTATCTGCAACAACAAAAATTGTTTTGTGCCTCGAGTGGTGTACCGCACAAAAGGAAAGTTCTCTCGCTTGACATCAAGGCGAAAATAATTGCTGAAGTGACGATTGGCGAAAAGGAAAAGACGGTTGCCGAGAAGTATGAAATTTCGCAGAGTTCGCTTTCGACAATTTCGAAGTTGAAGGACAGTATTATGGCTACCGTAAGTGCCAGTGCTTGCTTTCCCGACTGCATGCTGTTCTGTGGTGTTAGGCACTGCTCCCATAACCGTACAAAGTGAGGATAGATGAACTGCATTCTTCTATTACCTCCACATTTTGTAGTGGAATCTTATTTGTAAACGCTCACTTTCAAAATGTGAGGCAATTGGAGGGTTTCGGGAGCCTGGAAAACCAATTGCAATGCTAAAAACAAAAACCTCGGTCCAACAAAATTCGCGATTTAACAAAATTTTCGGCTCAAAAGACGACTTCGTTAAATTGAGGTTCAATTGTATGCCATGAATGAATTTTATTTGAGTGCAACATGTTGTCCACCTCGAACATGTTTAATATAGGTGTGCAAGAGGTATTCACTTAGGTTTGGTGAGCTTGGGAATGGATGTAAAGGCCATAAGCCCCAGCATCGATTAAAAAAAATTACCGTATTTTTCGTTGTATAAAACACACCTGTGTATAAGAGGCACTCCCCACTTTTTCCAAGTTTCTAAGTAAAACTTAGTATATAAGACGCACCTTTGTATAAGCCGCACCGCCGAAAGTTGTGGAAAAAAAGTGTGTCTTATACACCGGAAAATATGGTATATACACACATAGATGAGGATAAAATCTGCCTTGCTTTCCAGGTAACTTTGATTCTGGCTGCACATAACTTATATTTAGAATGCTATTTAGTGGCTCCAACTTAATTAAAGAAGTTTATCAATGGTGAGATCCTGATTGAGCTTGGTTTTGACTGGGTATGGAGAAATTATGAATTGTGCCCTCTGTTATGATTTGCAATAGTAACTGCCATAGGTTGCGAGCCTTTTGCGCTGCTCAGGTGTGCACCTTATGTAGTGTTTAGCTCTCACGCTGATTTCTTACATCTGCACATAGCTTTGTTTTGGACAGTCCTGGCGTCATTTTGTACTGTTTGAAGTAACTCGTTGGTAGTACTTAGAGTAGCACCTGGGCTAGTGGAAAGTGGTGACCTCACAGTTTTCACCATTTGATAAACGGCCTATAAAAATAAGTAACTATTGTTTGAGACTATTTTTGCTGATTTTTCTGTTTACCCCCTTCAGGTGACTCTGGCTTGATGACAGGCCTGAAAGTACCCAGTGAAGAAGGCAAGGATGGACCCTTCAAGGAGCTCCCCCCTCTACCGCCGCCACTCGTTCCGCCCAAGGACGAAGGTTGTACCGTTGCTCTTCCTGAGCCAACCAAGACAGATTTGTGCGACATGGAGAAGGCTGTCACGCAGGAGAACGAAGAGCCTCCAGAGAGGAAGTGTGAAGCAGAGACCGACGTTCCGAGCGTGGACAAAGAGGCTTTTGAAGCCAAAGAGAAAGCCAACGCAGGGGAGTACTCCCAAGAGAGCGGGAAGGGGGAAGACTCTGCGATGGAGCTTGACGGGGAGGGGGACAAAAAGGATGCCGCCCCCGAAACCCCTGCTGAAGAAACGCAAACAGCTCCGGACGAGCCCATGGAAGAAAGCACAGAAAAGGACAAAGAGGAAGAGAGAATGGAAGAGGACGAGCCGGCCACAAAGGAGCCAGCCGCCAAAGATCCAGAAGGGCTGGACGAGGACACCACCTGCCCCGCCGAGAAAGAGGAAAGCTGTGTCGAGGGTTGGTATTGCGAGATGTATCCCTCGTCCTGGGAGTAGTGTTGTGTCTAGAGCCCAGTTGCCCAGAGCTAGGGCTTAATACAGGATGTCGTCCTTTTTGCTTTCTCAACAGGCTCCTCCGTGCCTTCGGAAGAAACAGATGTCCAGGAGCCCACAGAAACTGCCGACTCCTTCGGCAAAGAGCCGGACAAAGTGGAAGGACTAACTGGGTTTGAGAGCACGCCAAAGACTGATCAGGAAGTTAAAAATGAAGAGCCGTGCAATGCGGACAAGGCGGTGCCAGTTGCAGCTCCCGAGGTGGTGGCTGAGCCCCTCCCCCTTCCACCACCAGTCATCGAAGACGACAACTCAAAAACTGACGTGGAAAAAACGGATACGGAGCAGGAGCCAGGCGAGCTGGCTCCAGGTGGAATCAAAACCATAATTGGATTTCCTCCGTTTCGTGTTCTCACACCGCAACTGGCTGAAGAATCTCAGGTGGGTCATTTTAATGCATTCAGGATTAGTGAACTACCGTATTTACACAATTGTAAGTCAACCCCCCCCCCCCCCCCCAAATGCACATCAGCAAAAAATCTTCAGATGCGCATTTTACTGCGGACACGGGAGAACAGCAAAGTATCTGTTTCAAAAGCCGAGCCTCCAACACGCGATCGATGCCTTCTGGCGTGCTTTAGCTGCGCAAGGTGCATGATATGGCCGGGCGTTATCGAAACTAGGAAGTTCACGCTGGAGGCGGGACAACTGAAGCTGCTCACTGTCGTTCTCACTCCGTCCGCGACTAGACTACGACTTGTCCGCACTGGTGATGTCAGTCTCGTCGTCGTCACTGCTACGTTCTCAAAGCACGTCGTCGGCGTCGTCCAACGAAATCTCGCACTTCGCAAATGACAGGATCAACCGCATCTTCCACGCTTGCTCGGCGATCGCGTTGCACGTCACGGGTAGGGACCGATTGCATACTTTTGCGGCGTACGTTACAAACCTGACTTTCAACTTCGGAGCCAGCCTTTGGCCTACAGAAGCCTCTTTATTTGCCGTCACAGTTTAAGATCCCGCGCCACTGCAGACTCCACTGGAGCATCACCCGCTCCGACTGGTCGAACTTGCTTCCAACAGCGCAGTTGGTTGCTTCTGAGTGGCCATAAACGAGCACCGAAAATCTAAACTGCCCGGATCACGCGTGTCAATAAAAAAACAGCAAAAAACATAGCGCTCCAGCATGATCTCGTCGCTCAATCGAACGATTTGCTACCGTGAATCGTGCGAAAAACAGCGAAGAGAAGCCACGGGGCGAGTGAGCCATGAGGCTGTTCCAGCGGCCTCCGGTGTGGCTCTTACAAGAAGTGCCGCCACCCCCCCGGGAGTTGGGCGCGCCATGCGCTGTCCACCGCCATATATTCGGGTTAATTTGCGAATCGCTATCAATAATACTCGTTCGCGCAAATACAAAAATAATTAATTTGTAAAATGAGCACATAGAATAGTGCAATACTAGAGGTCCAGCGGGCTGAACTCGTAACAAGTCGGGGTGTTCATGATATTGCGGTTGTTTGCCGGTGGTGGAATGCTTTGGTTTGATTATAAGCCGACCCCCCCCCCACTTTAGATCTTTAAAAATTGAAAAAAGGGTCGACCTACATTCGTGTTAATACGGTATACGTGTACCGGTTATTGTGGAAAAGCTTAAAATGGAGGGTTCGTTTTCTGCAGGAAACCAACTCGCAACAAGATGAAGTGCTAAGCCAAGAGAGCTTTAACCTGGAAGGAGATGGCGGGACTGAGCCCGCTCTAGTCCACTTCCTGACGCATTCCACCCGTAATCCTGTCCGTTGGCCCAAGGTAGGGTGTAGCACTTGTTTTTCCTAGTCGAGTTGGTTCGTTCTGACGAATTAAGATGTTCCATTGAATTTTTCTTATGCCTCGTACACACTTGCGAATCTGCAAGAAATTTGACACTGGGCAGCAAATTGTTTTCTTATTCCGTCGTAATATTTGACCGGAAGAGGAATCTGTTCGGGGCCAATTTCTTTGTGTGCATAAAAAAATTTCCGTGTTGCCTGAGCCGATCAGAATGCACAAATTAAATGGTGTTTGCTGATGTCACATCCTGGGCCGAGTTGCCAGAGTTGTCGGAGTTCCCACGTTATGCAAAAGGCGACATCTCGCTGGTCTCGTTCTGCCGATAGAAATACTCGTCGAGACTTAAGAATTGTCCAACTCTTTGACAGCAGGCATCTCATTAACAAAGACAGCGGTTACGAAAAAAACCTGTGGAATAAAATTAATGCAGGATTGGGTGCGAGTGGTACATACGTGCATTATCTTCTGTTTGCTCGTTGTATTATTGATGCATTCTCATATTGCTAAATGAACGTTGGGCAATCTCGTGGCACAGTGGGCTGCTAGCTATTTTATATTGCATAGTGGCAAAGTGTTGACTGCAATAGAAAGCCCGCGAGAGCTGTTTTTCAAATACTATACGGGCCAGAGGCTGTCTTCTCTGGTCTCCACAAGAGCCCGGAGCCGTGAGACACTGCGAGCAGCAACAAATGTGACCGTTGCCGATTTTTTTTTTATTTGATGACCAAATTCGGTTTGGGGCATGAGAGTTTTCAAAACTGAACGAGGCGTAAGGGGCTGTGCTCTCTGTCGATCAAATACTTTGCGGTTTCCAGGTGAGGTGAGAGGTTCAAGGTGATGTATTTTTGTAATTGAAAGCTAGAGCTGGTGGGAGTAAATCCAGATATGGCCCCTGCAGGACAAGGTGCTGCAGATTCGGCTGGAATATGTGGTGCACGCGGTGGAGAAGAAGGAGTGGCCTGTGCCCCGGCAATGCATCGCCATGCTGCCGGCAACTCCCACCGAGTCTCCCTCCTCTCCTGTGGTGTCCTCAGCGGCCTCTGGCTCCGAACTGACTCCCCACGCCACTCCCGAACACACCCCTGCCATGGTGGTGAGGGAGCAGCACCCACCCCCTCCACCACCACTGCCTCCCCCGGTCCTGGTCCCCGACATGTCTTCGCGACTGTCTCCGGCCGCAGTGGCGCCCAGCGTGCCTTCCCCGGTCACCATAGTGCCGGTCCCCACGGCACCCCCGGTGGAACCTGTGGCGGCAGCTGTTCCCGCTGGCCGCCACAGCCCCGTCCCCCCTATTCCAGTGAGTGCCCTGCTCTTGGGCCGTGGGTCTTGTGCCACACCCGTTCTAAGTGCAATTCTTTCAGAACGAAGACTTGCTCAGAGGTACAAGGCGGAGAAGAAGGAGACGAAGGTTCGAAATAGAGGCGGAACGAGGTGAGTGAGGGGTAAGTGGTCGTCTGCCAGACGTGGGACTGACTTTTCCCTGCTTGCAGCCAAACTACGGGCCCTCCTGTCCCACAACTTGCAACAGCAGCAACTGAAGCAACTCCAGCAGTTCCTGGCTCCTGCCCCGCCGCCCAGCAGCCTCCCGGGAAGCACGAGTGCGCAGGCCCCGCCGCCGCCGCCGCCGCCACCGGCGCAGAGCCCCACGGTGGCCCCTGCGGCGTCCCCGCAGGCGGCCCACCGGGAGGAGCCGGCCAAGGGGGCGTCGCCCACAGCCCCGCCCCCTCCGGCCCACCAGGGCTCGTCAGCGCGGCCGCCCAGCTCTTTGGGCATGCTAGACCTGCGGGTGAAGGCGTCGGCCCCGACCCCACCCCCGGCCAAGGGCACGGCCGAGGAGCCGCCCATGGACCTGAGCTCGGGCTCTGCGCCCACGTCGCACCTGTGCGCTGCGGCCACCATGGTGCCCTCGGTGCGATCAGCCCTGCTCAACGGGGCCGTGGCCGGGCGTGGGGGCACACGGGGCCGCCGCTCGGGGGGTAGCCGCATCGACGCGCTGGCCCTGAACCTGCAGGCGCGCAAGCAGCAGCAGCTGCGCGAGGAGCACAGGCAGCCTGGCTCGAGCGCGGACGAGCGCGAGGACTCTGACGCCTCGTCGACGACGTCTGCCACGGCGCCGCCTCCCCCTGCGCCCATGGCCCTGCCCATGTCGGGTGGGAGACTGCACGTGGACGAGAAGGAGCTTGAGAGACTGCTCGCCAGGAAGGTGAGGGCACCCGACGGCCCTAGGGGTCGGGGCCTAACGCCGCTGCGCCCACAGAGCCGCCACGAGGAACCTCCCAAGTCGCACAAGAGCCCCGCGGTGCCCCTGTCCCTGTCGTCGATGTTGTCGTCGGGCGTGCTCTCGCACGGACCAGACGGCCGGCAGGGGCGGGGCAGGCGGTCGAGCCGCTCCCTCTGGGACCCCTCGGAGGGCGGGGCTTCCTTGTGCGGCCCGGACATCCCAAACCTGAGCAGCGTGGCCACGAGCCTCCCCAACGCGAACAAGGGCATGGATTCTCGCGGCGGCACTTCGTCGTCTTCCTCGTCGGCACTGCAGCAGCAGGCAGCCGAGCAGGCCACGGCGGCAGCCAACATGCATCAGGACTTGAAGCGCTGGCTCGACGACCACCCGGAGTTGATGGCCAGCCACCCGAGCCTGACAGCGGCTGCGGCAGCCATGGCCTTCTCGCCTATGCCTTCCCTATCGAGCCACGTGAGTGCACACTCGTTCTGTGTTTTTGGGGTTGGTCCTCCTGGACAACCTGTGGTTCAAGTGACTGCTTCCCTTCTGGTCCCCGTAAGAAGAGGGTGCCAAACAATGCCCCGTTTAACCTCGAAAGATTGGCCAATGTTTTCGCCAAGAACCGGCACTCCAGGGGCTCCGTCTCTCGGTGAAGAGCCCGTTCACACACTTGTGACTCTTTAGGGCCTTAAAAGGCCACTGACAGGGTATTTATGCGTGCCAAGGTTTTTATTTTTACATGACATATGAGAGCCCAACTTCAGAGAACACAATTTGCGGCTCGCAATTCGTTTTCTCTCTTCCCGAAAACTGCCGATCAAGATCTGACCGGTTTGAGTTGCGCTCACTCTTTTCTTTCTGGTCAAGTGCCATTCTCTATGGTTTAGACACGACTACCAAAGATAATTAAAGTTGTGGGTCATTGAAGGCACACGCCCAATACTAGAAATGGACAAAAAATATGATAGGCATTTTTTGTGGCTTTTAAAAAGCTGCAAATACATTCTTCCGGTATCTTTCTCCTCTTCATGTTTCTTCTTCCTCCCCAGTCCAGTTTCGGTGTCAGTGGCCCAATCAATGGCCCCTTACCTCCCCCGCCCCTCCTTTATATTTGCCGACCGAGAAGCAACAGATGCACAATTGTAGGCAATTTTGCTTGTGCTGGTTCCCATATATCCCCACCATATCAATCGCAATGCCAGTATAAAGTAAAATGAAGGTGCTTCGCATGGTCTTGCCGCGCAGCCTGCGGCATGGGGGGGGGGGGGGGGGGGGGGGGGGGGGTTTGCAATTTGGTTGTTCGCGGAACCCATAAGACCAGCTCATGGAACCCCTGTGTTCCCCGGAACCCAGTTTGAGAACCCTTGCATAATATATTGCCTAGCACACTTTAAATCTGTGGTGCCTAAAGGCAGGAGCAGACAAGGGGACTTCAGCACATTGAGAAGGATGACTCAGCACATTAAGAAGGATGACTGAGCACATTAAGAGGGATGATTCGGCAACTACATCATGTGTCTGTCTTTAATGCATCCCTTGCTTTACTTCTTGTTCTATGGGCAACATAATAGACCTTGTGAATTTTTTCTCAAAGCAGAAGAACAGTGTTTCTAACCTTGAAGAAGGGTCACATTTTAATTTGTGCATTAAAGATGAAATTACTAACAGAAGACGGAAAGACACTAACGGTCTTTCCGTCTTCTGTTGCCATCTGCATATTTGTTCTCTGGGACAGAAGCTAACTCTCTTAGCTTGCTCTTCCCCTTGCAGCATATGTTTCCGCTAGTATTCATTTACTTTCTGGTGTTTACCAGTAAAAACTTTGTGGTGAGTTGTTGCGCTGCACGTGTGATGTCCGTAGGTGGGCGTCTCCGGTGCTAGGAGCTGTCGCTAAGGCCGGTTTGGAGCTTTTGTCTCTCGGGAAGGGGTTTGTGGCAAAAGTGTGCCCTTCTCGCTTAAAATGCTTTTTTCTCCATTGGTCACGGCAGCAACTGGAGTTGCTCGAGTTGCCCGAGTCAAGGCGAAGGGGCAGGAGACCTCGGTTGGACCCCAGCAAGCTGGATCCGCACCGCCTCACCGGAGATGAGAATGTCTCCGTGATCAATCGGCTCACCGGGAAGAAGGTAAGCAGTAGCGGTCCTTGTGTGGGCACACGCAGCATTTGGCGTGAGATGGGCAACGTTTGTGCAGATCACGGGAAGCAAGGCACCTCCTCTGAAGCACCTTGCCGAGTGGCTGGAGAAAAACCCCATGTTCGACGTGGATCCCAAGTGGTCCCAGCTCGTCAAGGAAAGGGTAATTATCATTTGTGCATTGCTCGCGTGTGCAATGTAACACTGTTCTGTTTTTACAGAGGTGGTTGCAGCATTCGAGGCAAAGTGAGGAAGCTAAAAACCAAATGTCTCAGCAGTCCTCTGCAAGGCGCAAACGTGTACGTACCCGTCGCGGGTGTGTTGCCTGGGCGTGGGGTGACGTGAGGTGGGTGTGTCCACAGGGTCATCTCCCGGAAGCCCCGAAGGAGCGCGTGACGACGCCCGACAGCAAGCGCGGCAGGAGGACGGCCGCGTCCCTCTTGTCGAGCTTGCACCAGTCGGGCCTCGGGGGGACGTCCTCCGGAGCGGCGGCAAACCTCGGGTTTCCCTCCACCTCCGCCCTGAACCCTCTGAGCTTCACCAGCGGCATGCTGGGCAACTTCCCGGGCCTGAAATTCTTCATGGACCCAGGCAAGGGGGCGAGCGTGACGTCCCCGTCGCCCTCGAGCTCGTCGACGACGCCGCCCTTGTTCCTGCCCTTCGGGGGCCTCGCGGGCATGGGCCTGGCCAACCCGCTGTTCAGCTTCCCCGGCCTGGGCTTCCAGGGCCTGCAGGGCCCCTTCGACGAGGCCAAGGACGGCAAGGCCAAGGACGGGGACCGCGCCACACCCTCGGCGCTGCCCAAGGGCTCGGAGCGCCACTCCAAGAGCCCCTCGAGCACCCTGCCCACCTCGTCGGCCAGCCTGGCCTCCACCTCGTTCCCCTTCCTCTACCCGTCGGGGCTGCTCTACAACCCGCTGGGCCTGGGCGGCTTCTCGCTGCCCACCAACATGTCCGCCTCGTTCGCCTCCCTGGCCCAGGCGGGCCTGGTCAATGGCCTCGGGGGCCTGGGCGCGGCGGGAGTGCTCTCGTCGGCCAGCGCCGTCGCCTCGGCCGGCAAGGCGTGCTCGTCGCTCGCCTCGTCCAAGCGGGGCGGGCCTTCGGTGACCTCTGTGCTCGGGGCGGGCCTGCGCAGCAGCGTGCTGCCACCCCCGCAGCAGCAGGCGCCGCCCCAGCAGCAGCCGCCCCCCCAGCCCCCTCAGCCGCCCCCCCAGCCGGCCAAACGTGCCACCTCGGCTCCGGTGCCCCCGCCGTCCCTCGACTCGGACGACGAGAGCCTCATGGGCAACGACCTGGACGACCTGGACGACCTGGACGACGGCAAGGTGACGGACGACCGGGACAACACGGAAGATGAGCTGGACGACCCTGCGGACCTCGGGAAGGAGGACCCGGACGACAAGCCCCTGTCGTAGCCCACCTCCGACAGACTACAGCAGCGGCCCCGCACGAGCCTCCTTTAGACAATACTCCCTAGAGGGTCACTGTTCTTCCCCGGCTGGTTCCCTCTCCCTTTTATTTATAGCACCACTACTTGGCTCTCAGTCTGGTTTGTATTTAGTTCAGCCCTAATACTTCTGTAGTAGACGCACACCTACGTGCATTTTAACTTCCTTCAGTTTCCCCCACTTTTCTGACTTTTTCCACGGACATTTTAGACTTTTTTGACCATTTGCATTTCCGAAGGTACAGGTGCGTGAACCAACCATTCCTCACGCATCTTCTTTTTTTTCTTTTTTTTTTTGTGTGTGTGTTTGTGTGTGAGTGCGCATGCTCATTTAGCATTTGCTTTCTATGTCTACGGGTTTGTATACAAGACAGGCGGATGAACAATTTGGGTTTTTTTTACCCTCGGTCCCAGTTCCCCTTTGCCATATTCTTTTTTTTTTTTTTTTCTGGCAACCTTATGTGTTACAATCTTTGGGAACGAAGAGTATTACAATTGCCGACAGTTTTGTCTCCTTGCGTTCTATCCATGTAATGCAGTTCGCAAGTTCTCCTTTCCGAGCGGGTCGACGTAAAATGGCGGACCTTTCTGGACGTGCGTGTAGCCGACACGTGCCCACCCCGAGTCCCATCACTTAACATTTCTTACGAGCGAGACATTCCTGAAAGCTTTGCGGTGTTGTCGTTTTTCTGCCCCCGTGTGTTTGTCAGGTTGTGCTTGTCTGGAAACTGGAACAGCCCCATTCCCTTCCTCCTCCCTCCTCTTTTGTGTTAAAGCTCTTTAATGCACGTGTTTACAAAACAGCGAAACAAAGGCGCATTACGTGAGCAAAGGGCAACACAAATCGTTTCTGCTATTGCGCCGCTGTCTTTCGGGAAGCTTGTAAATAGTCTATAAAGCTTTGTTTTCTTTTCTTGTGCGTGAATGTCTGTACGAGTGTGAGAAGTCCCCCAAATCTCGCAGCTTATTTATTTTTTACTCCATTTTGAAGGTCATGGGAGTGCAGGCCACATTTTTTGGGGTCAGTGTCGTATTGGTGCACTTTGTTTCTGCCCCTTCCTCCCCACCAGCTTTGTGTTTACCTAAAGTTGTAATGCAACATCAAAGATACACCTCATAGTCTTGTTTTGTTTTTTTAGTTTCTTGGTCCCTTTGGAATGCACCTGCAGTGCTGAAGAGTAGTGCATTCTTGGCATTTTGGCTTGCGTGCTGGCGGCCAACATGTTGAGAAATATGGTGGAAAGCGATGCCCTGCATTGTTGTGGGTGGGAGGATTTTCTTGAGACAAGTTGTGGTGTTGTACAAAGGACTTGCGGTTGTGTACAGAAGACCTCCCTTTTCCCTTTTGCGCTGTGTGGTTTCGTTGGTCTGATGGAAAGCAAGCATGGTTTAGATGCAGTATGGTTTGTGAGCAGGCTGCCTGAAGACTGGCATGGTATTCATTCAAATGGATGTGCGATTATGAATTTTCTAAGGCTTATTAAGCTGCTTTTTTTTTTTTCTGTTATATTTTTCTAATTTCTTTTTGATGTTGTGCAGAGCAGTTTTTAAAGTGGGAAGCATTGTCTTGTCACTTGTTCAGAGATGATGGAGCATTTGTGCATAGTTTTGGAGGTGGTGTAAAGACTGTACTTCTCTAACTATGTTTTGTTTTCTGCGACAGCCTGTTATGGGGTTGCCCTACTCCATTGCATGTTCCTTTCGGTACTTGACCATTATTTTGTACTCTTCTTTTTGTCTCTATTAGTGTAGCACTTTCCCAGCAGCTTGCTCATAATTTTCTTCCTTCCTCCCTAGTGCCTTTGTTCAACACTTCCTTATGGCTTTATTATCCTGCATCTTTTGGAATTAAAGTTTACTAGAGTTCTTCATGCGTGGTCAAGTATCTGAAAGCGAAAACAAAATCGATATGCAATGCCTACGAGTTCTTGCTCCTTGTATTTGTACGTGTACATTTTATTTATTTGCTGCCTTACTGTCTGTTTTTGTTTATGATGTCACATTACACGATGAAGTGTACAAGCAGTGTGCAGCGCTTGAACATCATGTTTAGAAATGGAGTAAGGTAGTTGTGTGCGCAGAGAATGTTGTCCCACTTCCCCTGTATCTTTTCATTCTTTATATAATTTTTTTTTTATTTTTTTTTAGTCAGCGTTAGAGGTAGCTATCTCAGAAGGCGGGCACGGAGAAGTCTACAAGAGTCGTGCCTTCTGTGTCGAAAAGAAGAAACCCTGTACATGCGGTGTTGGCGGAAACAAAACAAAACAAAAAAAAAAAAGCAGCGTTGGACTTTTTCTGACACCAACCATGTCATAGTGAATGAGTGATGCAACCTTTCATATAGTGTTTGTACAAGTGTATGAAATTAAATCTTGAAAGTGAAGACAACGTTTGTTTTGTGTGAATTTAATCGGAATCTCTGCATGCAGAGTTAAACGAGTGGCTGGACAGTACAAGACACGTGCACAGTGGTGTGCAGGTTTTTTTTTTTTTTTTTTAACCGTTTTTGTTATTCAATTTCAACCTATTCAGAAGGAATGAAGAAAGGAAGACAAAACAGTTAAGCTGCATTGCTATTTTTTTTTGAGGGGGGGGGGGGGTGGGGGGGGGAGGAGGGGAGGGGGAGTGGATTTGGGCAAGTTAAAGGGGTACGGAAACAAAAATTGAAATATTCAAATTTCGTTCGGAAATGAGTCAAGTATGACGGATAATAACCGGAAATGATAATCGCACGTTTGTATTTTGAGCGACTGGTTGTATTTTTCGTTCCAAACTGCACTCGAGCAACCGCTCGAAGAAAGCGAGCGGAGAGCGCGATGCGTCATGTGGGATGTCCGACGCAAACAAAAACAGAAAGAAAAAATTTCCCGCGTTCGTGAAATAGCAAGGCAGGCGTGGTTATGAGCTTTGCCCTTGGTGGCGTTGTCAGCGTTGTGGTGGTATCAATAGCGTCAGCGCGTTTGTACCCGTGTGGTGACGAGCGTGTGTCTGGCCCACGGTGGTCTGGCCCAAGCATAGAGTTATTATAATGTACGCTAGAGGTTCAACTGGCGCTAGTGTCTATGCGACTTCCGTGACGCAAATTGAAGCAGACAGCAACCAGTCTACTTTTCCGGTGCGCGTGCATTTTGTCTCTTCGCCGGAAAATAACATGGAACACTTTGGTTATTTGGGTCGTACCGAATAGTATGTACCTTAATTAACACTGTAAAAGTGTAATTGCTTTAGTTAGCGCATTTTTCTTCATCAGTGACCTATGTTTAACTTCGCTACATTTCAGTCCCAAACGTGTGTTCCGCAGCAGGTGTGTAAAAACAAGCGACGATTCGAAGCAAAATTACAATCGAAAGGAATGTAGAGTGTGTTCAAGGCTCGCCAGCAATCCGGTGACGCTTATATATTGATAATATGCCAGTCCTGTCACTATATAAAAATTACCCCGTCGTGCATGAGCGGATAAAAACATTCAAAACGTAGAGAATAAAGTTCGTGGGCTATAAAAGTTGTCTCTTCGTATTGCTTTCTCTGCCAAACAGCTTTTATCGGGCACTTGTTCTCAAAGATTTCGAGCGCCAAATAGGCTCCGCATGCGTTCACCAGGTGCACATTGAAAGATCGTTTATTTAGCTTTAAGATTAGTTTTCTTGTGCTTTTCAGTGGCAGATTGGTATTTTTGAGGTTAGGGTGCAGCATGCAACACATTAAAGCTAGAAAATGAGCGCTGAAATTTTGTTTCCCTACCCCTTTAAGAAGCCCATTGAGGGGAAAGAAAGAAGCTCTGTGAAGTAAGTGGTGTGTTGGGATGGAAGGTTCTGTAACCTAGCTCGGTAGGCTCACTTAAATGTCTGCGACAATTCCGGGGCGCTTCAGTCGAGTTGAGTGACATTTGGTAAATTTTACATTTGTAAAGCGTTTGAGGGTGGGGGAGCATTTGGAAACCAGAAGCAGTCAAAGTAGCTCGTCACTAGCGCCCTCTAGGCATCTGGATGGCGTCTAATATTGCTATTATGGTCGCGTGACGTCAATGTAGAAATCGCTCTTTGGACAGTCAGCGAGTGGCGTTCGACTTGTGTTATTTGCGAGCCTGGTGAGACAAGCGCTTCGTGAGGATGTCATACGCCTACCTGTTCAAATACATTATTATTGGCGATACAGGTAAGCTACTCGTAGGTTGCTGATCTCCGCTCGAAGCATTTTTCCGTGCGTTATCCGACGATGACGCGTTTCCTAACATCTGAGTTGGTAAAGCCAAAATGGCGACACGTTACGCTCTTCTATTAGCGAAAACTGGGTGCTCATAAAGCTTGACGTTGTCGTAATATCCCAGTTGATATATCTCGTTTTAATGTGTCCACAATCTACCTTCTGTAGAGACGCCTTCGAGGCCCTGTAGCCAAACCTTTGTTCGGAACTGAGCTCTACAGATGTTTCGCGATCAGCGGATCATTCATTGGATTAAAACAAAAAAATAAAAAGATCGACCATGTGTGGGTTGTGCTTCATGCTGGCTGCCCCTTGTCGCGCCTAATGCTGACAACCAGACGGCTGGCGGTGCGATCTCCTTTCTTGAACGCTTTGTTATACCGGAGCCACTAGTGCGCGTGCCGAACGAGCGGCGAGTACGTTCGACGCCCCTGCCAACGCGCCAGCTTCCAGCTTCCTTGTCGACTGCAGTGCGAGCCGAGTGACCAAGTTAGTACTGCGGCGGGGAGGTGGATCGAAAAGGGGACGCTGTTTAAAAAAGGCTAGCGTGTGATTCACTGAGGCCTGTTTACCCAAGCCTTGGCCCCCCACCCCCTCCTCCGTAAACCAGGCGAGACGCAAAATGTTTTGCGTCGCCCAATCCCGAATTTTGTTTCTTTAAAAATGAATTCGCTAGAAGGAGTCTCGTCGCCTTTTCTCGAAACTGGGTTTCTCTATAAACGGGGGTGCCTAAACCGGGCTCTCGCTAAATAAATGTGCACGATGCAAGCGCGAACTGGTACGGAAGGTGGCTGGTTTGACCCACTGTTCACCCAAGTCTCCCTGGCACTCTGGCCGTTCCTATGCAGGAGTCGGGAAGTCCTGCCTCCTATTGCAGTTTACGGACAAGCGTTTCCAGCCCGTACATGACTTGACCATTGGTACGTGAACCTTCGTCCGCACCATGTTACGACGTACCGGAGCGTCGAATCATGGTCCGAAATTTAACTGCGACTTTTCCCACACTTTTTGCAGGAGTCGAGTTCGGAGCCCGCATGATCACTATCGACGGGAAACAGATTAAGCTGCAGATTTGGGACACGGTGAATACTTGCTTCATTCCTGAGAAAGATGTTGTCTTTGTCCTTCAATTCAACTGCTCGTCTCTTGACAGGCCTGCTTTAGTTTTCTCTGCTTGGAAAGTGTGTTCACCACGTGTGTCGAATGCTAAACTGTCTTATTTTGACAAAATGCGCCACAAGACAGGGACAGAGTAAGCAAGACAACACGAAGCGCTTCGTGTTGTCTTACTTATTCTGTCCCTGTCTTGTGGTGCATTTTCTCAAAATTAAGTCATGTACCAACTGGTCCATCTGTCACTATTGATGCTAAACTGTGCTTAATGTTTCCGAGGGCCTCCGGTTCAACCAAGGAATTCAACATGGATATACAAGTGCGCAGTAGGTCAAGTAGCTTGCAGCATTTTTGGAAACATTCATTAGCATAGTTTCAAAGTTCCGTCGAAGTAAGATTTGCACAAGTGTTGCGTATCATGGCTGTAGTTCTCCCTCGTCATCTGCCTATACATGCCCTGCAAGTGACGTCACGCTAGGGAAGGACGGGGCCCCGCACCATACTGGTGGTTGACTTCACACCGCGCGAATGCGCTTACTAGGGCGTAGGATGCCGCTAACTGCTCGGACATGCGCTGACATGCACCATGTTTTCAACAAAGGTACCTAGTTATGTTACATGTGAACTTGGAAAACCGTGCCGAGCTTACGATGATGACGTTTAGGCACATACGTGCGGAATTTTTCGGCATTCATGCTATTGCACTACGACCAGAAAGTTTCGATATGCCGCCGCCGAATATTTGATGCAAAAAACTGTCGTGTCGCCAAAGAAAAAAAGCTTAATTGTCGGTTTTAAAATTTGACGAACGCTCTAGGAGTCGCTTGTAGAAACATTGTTAAGATTTTGCGAAATACTGGTAAACAACGCAAATTTGCCGTCATAATCTGAACCCTGAGACAAGGATAAATCAAATAATGGACACAACTACTCTCTTTGTCTCGGGGTTTATATTATGATGTTTCCTAACCGGCTCGCCTGCATACTTTCGCTCCTTGCAAACGATACCGTCTCGCGGACGGCACAAACCGATGCCCCAGCGACGGCGTCTCTGCGAGCTTGTACACGGGCGTAGCCGCCGACCGATCGCCATCTGGCTGGGGTCGCGGCGCGGCACTCACCCGTACTCGACCGGGAGCCCTGAAGGTGCGCTCGAAGCGTGGAAACGGCGTTATGTAACGAAAGGCAAAGGCCATCTACACCACGAAGAGGCAGAAACCGATGCAAAGGGTGCACAAACATAAACAGCGGCAGAAAAGTGCCGTCGCTCGCCCCTATGAAATGCGTCCCGCAAACTCTAATCCGCGGCCGCATCCCTTTCCTGCCGCTCATACTTTCTTTAACTTGATGGCTACTCTGTCTCGTGGGGCATGCCGACGAAACGATCGTTTTGGCACGACTGAGCGCGGTGCAGTTTACCATTGTTCTCGCTGCAAAGGGCCGTCGAGTCAACCACCAGCATGGTGGTTACCGGTGTTCGACGTCATCATGTGACATAGGTGCAAGGCATGTATAGGGAGTGTTCACTGGCGGCCATAGCTGTGTGCGTGGATGCTGAGCGCATGCTGATGGCGAGCTTCCTCAGTTCTTTTGCAACATGCATTCCACACCATCAAGATTGCCGGTTTTAGAAGCCTATTAGTGTGAGCTCGTTCTGAGCACTAAACAGCATCCTCAAATGTGGCATCCAGTGAATACCCCCGTACTGCTGCTGTGATCGCTAGAGCTTTAGAGGCTTAATACTTGGTTGTTCTGTGGCTTTCTCTACAGATATTGTTGTTGTAGCCTGATGTGTTGATTCTTTGTCACAGGCTGGGCAGGAAGCCTTTCGCTCGATCACACGATCGTATTACAGGGGAGCCGCTGGAGCTCTACTTGTGTACGACATCACCCGGTATGGCTTTTGTTTTGCATCTGTGCTTGTTGATTTGGTGTGACCAAGCCTACAGATTCCCCGTGGATCCTTTCAGGAGGGACACCTTCAATCATCTGACCACCTGGCTGGAGGATGCTCGCCAGCACTCCAACTCCAACATGGTGATCATGCTGATTGGAAACAAGAGGTGAGCCAGTGCCTCCTCTGGAGTAGTTTTTGTGTTGACAGTCGCACCAATAATGAGCTATTCTTGCTATTGCTGTGTGTGTGTGGAGCACTACCGCTTTTCAGTTTATATAGTTTATAAAAAAATGTATATAAAATATTCTATATATAATTGATATTTCTGTGTTTTCTACTATATTAGTATTAGTGTGTCTTCAGTGTGATCCTGTATATATTTGTTTCTTGTGGTGTTTTTGTAGAACTGCACCAATCTACAGACCATTGTGTGTTTTTTTTTATTTTAAATAAGGATTATTATTGATGTTTTAGTCAAGTGCACTTACTTAGGTACTGTTGAAATCAAAACAAGTTAGCACAAGGACGCATTTGCCAGTCAGGTGGTACATAGAGATAGGGTTGCACAAGCATCCCCAGCTTTGTGGCTCAAGGGTTCGGTTCACAGCAGTCGTTCCCAATACACACTTTTGAAATTCTGACAGCATAGCTCTGGTATTCACCAGGCTTGCATTACAGTGCACATTCCCCCTCATTTAATGGCAGCCATGTGTTCTTAGCAAGCAGAACGCCGACGGTACACGAGGGTAAAGCACTCGTCGCAGGAAAAATAACCAAGGACACCACAGATAGAAAGATGAGGACTGTCTGTCACGTTTTGTTCATGATCTGTTTGTGGCACAGCAGTGGCACATGCACTAACCTCTTTGATCTAGTAGTCAATCAATTGTACTTGTCTCTCTTGATTGCGGCTGTGCCTTAGTGCTGGTGCGTTGCAGTCCAGGCGTTTTGGAAATTAATTGCATACTGCAGTAAAGAGGTTTTTCAGTCAGTTCTTTACAAAACCTTCGTCAAAGCTCGGAGTATGCAGCTTCTGTATGGAATCGCATACAAGCCGCTCTTGTTGCTGCATTAAAACGCACTCAAAACAGATCCGCTCGTTTTAATCTCGCTAGCTACCACTGCACCAGGGTGTAAGATGGGCAGGTGGGGAAACAACCGCTGAAACCTGCCGCAGCGGTGTGACTGGATTGTGTCCTCCTGGCGGCTTTTGCTCGGCAGGTACTTCCGCCTTACGATAGATGCAGCGGCATATGGAAAGCGATGGACTTGGGTTTGTATGGAACTCTGCAAGAGAACGCACCGTGTCAGCGATATTCTTTAATTAAAATTTTAATTTAAATTAAAAAATTCTTTAATAAAATTATTGCACGTTTATCTACCTACATTTTTCTTAACTTTAGTGCACTTTCCGAGCCGTGTGAAGTCTTTGAAACGTCTGATGTGCTCCAGTGATGTGATTGCTACGCCAAACCACGCCAAGGGGCTAACCTTGCTACGTCCTGCTAGATTTTGCCAAAATATGGGTAGTCAGCGCCAAGCCTGCATCAAAGGACCAGTTTCGGTCGCCTTTCAAAACCGAAACTAAACTGAGAACCGTAATTGAGCATGCGTGACTTAGGTGGCGCAAGAGGCCGCCCAACACTAAGTACCCCGCATCAATCGTCCATCCGATCACCCCCCCCCTTGCATGGTTTTTCCCGCTGTCTCGCGTTTCGCACTCTCCTGTCGTCTCGGGGCTCTCGTCCAGTGGTCTCGTCCAGCGCCTTTTTCAGATTTTTTCAACGATAAACGCGGGCGTGTGCGGACGCTCTGACGCTAGTATGCCGAGCCATGCCGTCATGCTGTGAAACAAAACCAAATTTTTTTGTGTGGCGAGAGTTACTTTGTGCGCTGAAGCACTAGTGCGACCACAGTTAATGGGTCGCGCGACGTAGGGTGTTGCCGTCCCCACGTCGCTGCAGATGTGTCGCTTTCTAAACTGAAACTTAGTTACTGCCGCGTGTTCATCAACATTCCTGCTCTTGTTTAAATCATACGCTACTACAAAAACCCCTCTTTTCAAAGACTGCTTGTCAAAGTATTGATTACCTAGGTTTCTCTCGGTGGGCTTTCTTTCGAGAGGGACCCCGGTACGTAAGAAATCTGCCGCGAAAGAAAGTTAGTGAAGAGAAGTGAGCTAAAGCAAAGGAGACAATGTCTGCACGGTGAACCCGCATAGCGTGCTCGTTTGTCACGAGTTCAGTCGTTGGACAAAGTGCTCCTAGAACTTTTTGACCCTGGCTCGCGATGCCATACATCGATGCGCTACGGTTCTTTTTTTCTGAGTGTTTAGCTTGTACCTCACCTGCCGACCTGGCAAGTGCGCGCCGCTGGACTGTTTTTTTTGTTGTTTTTTTGTCGTATGCTAGACAGTTACATTTTGCATACAATTGTAAGATCCGGTAGGCGAGGAGCAAAGTGGCATGGTTTCGGTTTCGATTGAACAGCCGTTGTCTCCGCTCACACAACGAAGCACGCACAACCGCAAGCCTGCCAATGTTGCCCTTACTTGCACGCAAACATGGTTTGCATGCACGTAAGGGCAACACCCGATCACCCAATCGGCTCTCGCTTTCTCACCTGCCTACCTTACACACTGCACTGCACTCACAGCGTGACTTCCACAAAAGCTGCTTTATCATTGCCAGCCTTATCCCTGCACCAAACAAATCTCTCCTTTATCCCATAAAATTTAGTTTCATAATTCCGTCCTGCACAGGAAATTAATCGCACACCATTTTTTTTTCTTTCCTCTCGTTCATCAGCATAAGATTTACATTCCAAGTTCTGTCACAAGAATGTTTCACTCGTACTTCATTCCCCGTATATATTAAGACTGGAACCATCTTCCCGGGTTGATTGCCACCGTCCCAAACTCGAAACTTTTTAAATCTGCCATTACCAATCCATTTCTTTGTTGAGTGTGCCTACTTTGTATTTGGTACGCTATTTGAGGGAACAATAAATAAATAAATTAGAGGTACCAGTGTAATGAATAAAGGATCCACGCTTAATTGACAGTGCATGTATTTTGCATAATGTTTCACGGTGTAATGCCACAGTGTGTTTGGGTACCTTCAGCCCCTTTGTGTGGAGGTGGTCGAAGGGTCTGGTGAACTTAAGGAGTTGTGGTGCAGTGACCTGGAGAGTCGGCGAGAGGTGAAGAAGGAAGAGGGGGAAGCTTTTGCCAGGGAGCATGGTCTGATCTTCATGGAGACTTCGGCCAAGACCGCAGCCAACGTGGAGGAGGCCTTCATCAACACGGCCAAGGAGATCTATGAGAAGATCCAGGAGGGGGTGTTCGACATCAATAACGAGGTAGGCATTTCCTATAACTGGCTGGCCGCCTGCGTCGTGAGGGGCTGGGGTGTTGCACGGCGTGGGCTACTTCCCACCTGCGTTGATTTGTGTCGCGGTTAGCTGGGCAGTGTGTCGATCGGCTGTAGCTGTAAAGCTCGGTCTTCTCATTCCTTGGTTTTAGACTGAAGGTTGTCTTTCACTCTGGTTCGGGCATTTTGAGTGAGTTGAGTTCACAGTGTATGTTAAGAGTCTCTCTCTCCATGACTGAAAGCAACTCTGGCACCCTAAATTTTTGTATGTGTGCATGTTGCAAACAATTGTATAACAATTTGAAATTTGGGAACAACTTATTAGCGAAGAAAATGTGTAATATTAGAAATATTAAGTTATATTCACTACACAGAGCGTCTCGGTGACTTGATGCTAGGTGCCAGCCTGCGGATTCCCAGTTGGCGAGTTCAAATCCTGGCCAAGGTGTCTGCAATTTGATGGAGGCTTATATTGAAAAATGTCTAGTTTCTGCTTGCAAAAGTTTGTCTCACAGCTGGCAGCTTGCAAAAGCACTCACCAGCTGCAGTTAGCAGGTTTTATTTGCAACTCAATCTACAAGACATCTTCCTTGCTACTTGGAATAGACATGTGCTATAGTTGCCGTTAAAATGCCTAACTTCAATCTGAATTTTTAGCTTAACATACTTTGAACTTAATAAAGTACTGTAAGGAGGGAAACTATGCAGGTGAGCTGGTTGGGAAACACCATTGAACAAAAACACGAGACGGGCGTGTTGTCCGTTTTTTTTTATTTGTCCCAGTCTCGGGTTTTCTTTGAATGAAAGTGCTGTCTTGCTTTTTGCATATTGTTCCTGTGTTGATAGGCTGACTTTAGGCGAACACGCTCTTGCATCTTCGTGTTGCTCTTGACTGTACAAGCACTGTAGCTTTACACTTTTTAAAATTTAATCTAGCATTTGATGATTGCTGTAAATGTTGTGCAAATGGGAATCAGAAATAATAATCTTTTGACCAAAAAACAAATGCTATCACCCCAGCTAGAAATGGGAGAAAAGGGTGCAACATTGGGACTGTTTTTATTGGCTGGTAATGCTAATGCAAGCCTCACTTCGACCCCTTCACTGTTTTATACGAGCCTAGGTCGTCAAAGTGGAGCCGTCCCCACACCGTTCAGGACGAGCATAGCTCGTCTGCTTTTCCTGCTTCACGCACTCCACCGTTTTGGACGAGCCTAGGTCGTCAAAGTGGAGCAGTCCCCAAACCGTTCAGGACGAGTATAACTCGTCTGCTTTTTCCAGTTCACACACTCCACCGTTTTGGACGAGCCTAGGTCATCAAAGTGGAGCCGTCCCCAGTTCAGGACAAGTATAACTCGTCTGCTTTTCCCGGTTCACGCACTCAACCGTTTTGGAGGAACTAGGTTCGCTCATGCCTTAGCTTGTGGCCATGCCAACAAATAACAGCGCTTCATTTTTTTTTTCTTTTTTTTTAAATTTTGCTCGTATTTTTTTTGCGGTTCGAAATCTTATTTTGAAGGCAACAACTTTGATTTTGAAGACGACAATTAAGCAGTCGAGGGTCAGAAATTCCCAAAAACTGAAAACGTTTAAGGGGTTAAAGTGCAGATGAGTGCAGCTAAAAGTATTAATTCAGCTGTGAAAGTGACAGCAGCAGCGCTGTACCAATATTTTTTGTCTTTGAACACATTTTGGTTTTAGTATGGAAATGCAGGACTGGTAGCTTTGTGGTTTGATGGGTCTGAAGGGGTGGAGCTTCCCGTGCGGCTGTGCCTGGCGCTTTGGGACAGGTTGCTGACGAGGTGTGGTTGCTTGCAGGCCAACGGAATCAAAATTGGTCCCCAGCACTCGCCGACCAATCCGAGCATGCCGTCGAGCGGTGGCGGAGCAAGCGCAGGTGGAGGCTGCTGTTGAGCCGAGGAGGACCACCAGGGGAAGAACAGACCAGAGCAAATGCTTTGTTTGGCAACACCGATACACACATACATATATATATTATGTAATGTACACGTGTGTGCATGTGCGTGTGTAAATACACCGATGTATATGTACATGTATAATCCACTCTCCACAGGCCTAAGCAAGACACCGAAGATGCAAGCTTGAAGCTACGAAACTGGGGTGGAATGAATAGAACCCTCTCTGGCTCTCCCCTTTCTTTGGCTTCCTTTTCTTGTCAGTGTTGTGGGTGGGTGTGTGCGTGCATGTATGTGTAAGAGTGTACAAAGAGGCTTTGCTCGAGCTTTCACTTGCAGTATCCCCAGACTGGGTACTTTTTTTTCTTTTTCTCTCTCTGGACGGTGCAGCAAGAGGTGAGGCATCCTCATCAGATAAGCCAAAGTCTAGTAGTTTGACGGCATGGACTGGCAGTGTTCTCTTGGCTGCCACACATTTTTAGTGGGCATGTACATACATGTGTATGTAGCGAGCGGGTGCATTCCCATAAGCAATGTTTCTTGTCTTGCTCTTTTTTTTTCTTCATGAAGGTTTTAATATAAAGTCTGTTCTCCGTTTGTGCATTTTCTTGTAGACTGCTTCTGCATTGCCATACAAGCAGTTTTTTTTTTGTCCTTTGTGTTTTTTTTTTTTCTTTCCCAAGGTTTTGATCTGACTGCTCTTTTCTGTCCACCATGTGATCCTAGTCATAAACATTCCCAGTTTGTATTTTTTGAAGCTTTGAAATTCAGAAAAAATTTAATTGCTTTGGTGTTTTGTGTATGCCCCACTTACCTCTGGCCTAAGCAAATTCTTACATAAAGGAAGTTCGACGCACAAGGGAAATGTAACAGCATTGTGCTATTTATACGTACGTGTGTTTACATGTGTACATATTGTCAAGGTGAGAAAAAAAAATGAGGCTAAGGCAGCCGTGCTTCTCTTGTATGCTAAATGCTGTTTGGGCAATTGCAGCTGCTGATGGAAAGTTTCTATGAAAAGTGGTGTACTGGTAGTGGCATTCTATGTGTGTTTAATTCTGCAGGACAATGTTTATTTGATTGTTTGAAATAAATCTGTTTTAACCCACTATTTCGGAAACCAACAGTTCATTTGGATAGAGTTGATTTGTTTTCTTATTCTGGAGGAAAAAAAAAAAAGAAGTGCAGAAGTATTTGTTGATTCAGTCCAATGTTCATTTCAATATGAAGTGGCTATAGGAGCAGCAACTAGAGTTTTCGAGGCTTTATGGTTCACTGCTCCAACAAATTTGGAAAGCAAATCCCTATTAAAATTATCAGTGCATAAAAATTGTCAATGCAAAATGTGTGTATATATACATATATATATATATATATATATATATATATATATATATATATATATATATATATATATATATATATATATATTTTTTTTTTTTTTTCTATGGAAGCTTTTTTGTTTAAGTTAAGGAATAGGATTTCTAGTTTATGACCTTTGACTGGCCCTATACAATTTTAGATTGTGTGCAGAGAGCCCATGTGATGCACAGGCTGCTCACTTATCTGCACTTGGTTTTGTCACCTGCCTCCCAATAAACCTTTAGCAAAAAAAAAAAAATGTTGACAAATTATGGGAGTCTGGTACCATAGTCTCCTGCTAGCACGTGACATAGGTGAGTGGGTGCAGGTTACCAAGGCAACACCGCTCAAGCAGCCGAGCCATGCGAGGGTGTACGCAAATGGGGGAGGCGGTATCGTATTGGCTGGCTGGCGAGGCTGGTCCTTTCTCAACCCTCCCTTAGCACCGTCTCCGATGACTGCGACGACTGCTGGCGGCACCTACTGCAACTCGAAAGCAGTAGCGGAGGCGCAGTGAGGAAGTGTGATCTGTACCTTGGGTTCACAAAATGCGCTGATGTCATGGTGCTGCACGCATTGCAACGGGCCTATTGCTTGCTGTAGGATGTTTCATCGGCAAGATTGTTCAAATTTTGGGAGGCCTGTCTCTTGCTGGTTTCCCATATCCCTGCTCTGAAAGTTGATTGTGAGTGTGCTCCAGTGTCGTTTTTGGGATTGTACTACTTGTAGTGCCCAAAGATGGCAGCAATGTGATTGCAGGAAAAATGTGAAGAAATGGGTTGTTGTGAAGTGGCAGCAAGACACTGGTCAAAGCTATATTGGGGGATCCCGAATCTGGGGAAAGCCTTTGAAGTAACCGCATAAATTGGCGTGGTAACGTACTGCACTATGATTTACCACAGAGGTGCCTGAAGATGGTGGAAGCATTGCATCAATATTTCAGAGTGAACTTGCCAGAGCAAGAAGTAAAAAAACAATAACCGGCTTTTTGTGCCTACGGCAACCATCAGCTAATCGCACACCCCCCGACTGGCACAACAACTGGCAGAGTAGCAGCAGTGGCTTACGGCAGCTCAGCTGCTGCCCGGTCATTCCAAAAGCAGACAACTTTTTGGAATCGTAATTGGTGCACGCTTTTTTGATGCTATAATACTACTCTGTACCGAGCTGCTGTAAGCCGCCGCTGCCACCGTCTGTTGGTTGTTGCATTAGTCAAAGGGTGCGTGATTAGCAGACGGGTGCCGTAGGTAGAGAAAACCAGATTGTTTTTTTACTTCTTATACTCGGGCAAGTTCGCTCTTTGACATTTTGACGCAATGTTTGCTTCACCTTCAGGCACCTCTGTGACAAATTGTGGTGCACTTCGTTACTAAGCCGATTTATGCGGTCACGTTAAAGGCTTCCCCCAGATTCGGGATTTCACAATATCCTGTTTCCGAGCTCTTCGCTCTGGCAGTTATCCCTGCTGCGAGAGTTTTTTCGCATCCAAAGTGTGTCCTTTAGCAAGGAGCTCACTCGCACTGGTGGCATTTGCTGCAATGTATAGAGGTAAAACAAACTATAAAAGTGGGTGTCAAGAGCTTGTCAAACATTTTAGGACACTTGTTCACCTGTTCCAGAGCAAACAAGAGAAAGAGGTCCACCATTTTGTTATGAGCACTCTGGCATCTGCAGGAGGCGAGCATTTCCAAAATTGGTTTCATATAAAAACGTACATTTCATCACACTGACATCTAGCAACAAAACGCCTCATCTAACTTTTTCAGAAAGTGCTAGTTCAAGAGCATTTGGCAAAGGATGCGTGTGCATGAGTGCCAAGACCAGCCTCTCGCTTGGAAGCCTGTCGTGGTCGCTCGTCAAGTTCTGGAACCATGATCTTAAAAAAGGTGGACTGGCATAGTGTGAAAACCCCTCCCTTAGCTAACAGATATCCTAATGTCTTATTCTTATTGCAGTAGTTTCGGACAGGAACTGAGTGACGGCACACGCCTATTGGCACTTTTTCTCACTCACTTGACTCGCACACAGCAGTGCCCTACGCCAAATTGTACCAGCTAGGTTCCTACCTCGCATACCTACTAGGCTAGTAGTACTGATGACAGCATTTCAGTTCTGAAAGAAAAACTAGCAACACCAAGTGTCGCGTTCTACACCTAGCAATGTTTCCAGTGGAAGTGCACGCTCAACATTTTCAATGTGTGTGCGGAGACCTTTCAAGCTATGGTTTATGCTGTGCAGAGCTGCTTAGTAAGCATGTTTTTGTTAGAGGGATTGTGTGTACTTTTCCTAAAACAAACAAACCCCTGGAAGAAGAAAGACTCCAATATCTCGTTCAGCTGGGCATGGTCTGTGAAAGTGTGGAACTTGTCGGCCTGTGTGGCGACCCCAAATGTTCATGAGGCACTCGTAAGCCTGCATGGCCACCCCAACCATACTAAAAATTAAACATTAATTTTATTTCCTTTCACCAACGTGAGTAAGCTCTTTTGATCTTCCGACATGGATTAAGTACAAAGATAACAATTGTATGTCCCACCATTTCTATACTCTGAGGAATGCATGTGCTTGCAACATTGGGCACCAATTCAACCTGCGCACATGCACCCCTCCTCTCTTTGAAAATGCCACAGAAGGTTGTCCCCAAATATGGCAGATAGGAGAACAAATGAGCAATGCACCTTTTATCAATGTAATTGAAAAAACCTGCAGAAAATGTTCAGATCATCCCGCTGGGAAGCAAGCTGGTCAACAGCCTGCTCCGTCCTAATGCAGTTTGAGATGTCGATGCGCTTCAGTGTGTGGCACTGTGCCACATGCTCCAGTATTTTGTCTGTAAGGCCGGTGCATCCATTGAGAACGAGCGAGTCCAGCCGTGACAGTTGATGAAGTGCCAAGGCCACAGACTTGTCCGTCAACTGCACAAGATAAAAAAAGAAACTGGATACATAAACTCTTCAGTTTCTAAATAAGATTGGTTTGTACAATGTGTACTAAAAGTGGACATAAAGTACACAGTAAATACACATGGAGGGTAAACCAATGAGTGGTTTACTGCAATAAGGTCATGGCCAACCTTGGAGTTGTACATAATGCTGCAAGTAGGTACATATACCGTCAACACCCTGGAGAAATTGGTATGACAGATTAAGTATATACAACCTTCACATAGTGCCATATGTGTGCACACTAGCACCATTAACAGTGAATTATTCTACACAGCTTTTACTGCAAATGCATTCTGAAAGTTAAAAGATGATACGAGTGTTCCAGTCTCTTGCAATATGAACCAAAGCAAATGTCTTGAACGGGGAGGGCAATTAGGATGCCGTTGATATACATCGACCACCTGGTGCCATCGTATGTCGGGTGGTAAGTTTAGTGTCTCCCAAATAACAAGTCTTCCCCTCCCTCGCACCTACCTGCGTGCATCCATGCAGCGTTAGTTCTTGCAGACTGGGGTTGCTCAAAGCGATGTGTTCCATTCCCAGATCAGTCAGGTTGTGGCACATCTTCAGGTCTAGACATTGGAGCTCCCGAAATGCAATGGCATTCAGGATGCCACGGTCAGTCAGCTGTACACAACCGGCGAGTTTGAGCTCCTTCAGTTGTGTAAGGTGTGCCAAAGAAGAGCAGACATCAGCCTGTGCAGGAGCGAGCTCGCACAGAGCCCCGTCGGTGATCTTGTCGCAGGAGCTCATGTTCAGGACTCTGAGACGCCTCAGACGGTGGATGGCGCGTGCACCCTCGTCTGTCAGGCCACTGCTAGACACGTCGAGGGCAGTCAGGTGTGCCATGGTATCGGCTAGAGCGGTCATCAGGGAGTCACTGACCCGGCAGCAGCTGAGGTTGAGCTCCCGCATGGTTGGACGTGAGTCAGAGCACAAAGCCTGCACAAGTGCATCCGGGCTCACGTTGGGGCAGAAAGAGAGGTCCAGACACCGCAGCTTCCTCAGGTGGGCCAACTGACGAGCGGCGCCATCCGTCAGCTTGGTCCAACGAGACAGTCGCAGCTCCTGGAGCATTGGGAGGTTGGAGCAAATGGCTGCCAGACAATGGTCGCCCATTTCCATGTTCTGGTCGAGGTTGAGACAAGTGAGCCCCGGCACTTTCTGGCAGATAGACAAGATGCCTTGGAAGCCCAGTTGAGCACAGTTCGAGATATCTAGCTTTGACAGTGTTTGCGAGTAGGCAGTTACGAGCTCCTTCAAGCTGGTGTTGTCCACATCGGTGCGCGAGAGCCTAATCGCCTTGAGGCGCACCTTGTTTGCTCGGAGGGTTCGGATAATGCTCTGGAATGTGAGTACCAATGGGCTTGGAGTAGTATCACGTGCATAAAATCGCCGCTCAACTACCTTCTGAAAGCTGACTGAACATTTAGACAATTCCAGAGTGTCGAGGCTGCCCACGATGCTGACCATTTGTCTGAATGCTGCATCGCTAAGGGATCGGTTTCCAGATAAGTTGAGTGTCTTGACGCAAGCCAATGCAGTGCTCAGTCTGCTCTTATTTTTGTCAATCTCTGGAAGGGTGCCTGATAAAAAGACACTGCAGAATGTAATCGCCAAATGTTCGAGGTTTGAACAATTCTGGAGCACAGTCACGAGCTCGCTCTCACAAATATCGCAGAAGTTGAACTCCAACTTGTTCAATTTAGGTCCTATTAGCTTCCAGAACTCAATATCTCCCTTAAAAGGGATGCTACCAGCCACGCGCAAGTCTGGGACCGTTCGTAACGATTTTTTAAGAATTTCCATGCGATGGCTGACGTCGTAAGCGAGTACCACCGTAGTATCTTTGTAGACGTTGCCGTCAGCCGCTGATCGATACCAATTCTTGCAGACCAATCCTGCTGAAAGCCTGTCTGCAAGACCAAGTTTCATGAAGATCTGGCAGAGGATCTATATAAGCAAAGAGCACAACAAAACCTGATATCAGTATTTCATTAATACAAGTATGATTCAAGCTGGAGAATATGCCAACACACGGGACTGCAGGCTAAACACCCGAGTAACGTTCAGACAGAAAGCGATATGGCTTTGGCATATACGTAAATAATGAATGCTCTACAAGGTTTCACTGGTTTCAGGATTCTCCCAAAGGTTTAGAGCTCGACATAACATACTTCGTACTGTGGATAAGCAGAATACAGAGTCCTGACCAGGTAGAAGAAAGTACAGCAAAGTCAGACTTCAAAAAGGATTATGGAAAAACATCAAGACAAGGTGACAATAACGGTTCAGTCAATCTAGCCAAGACACACGCAGAATGCCTGAGCAGACCAGTGGCAACAAAAAGTTCCAGCTTTGCCACGAGAGTACCTTAAACTACAAACGAGACCGGAAAATATGCGTTTCAAGATCAACAGCGAAATATTAGATCGGGGTTTCTGAACCATTTAGTTGAGAACGAACTGATCCCAACGAAATAGCAATAAAGATTAAGACACCAGAAAACATTGCGTCGCGTAACGTCATTGCGAGGTAATTGAATTTAACAAGATTTAAAATGACTTTGTGCCCATTCCGCCGAAATGCGAATCGCTCTAAGGCGATTCGCACTGGCGCTTTGGAAGGACACCTTTCACGTGTTTTCTGAACATAAGCAGCAGTCAAAAGAAAAGTGTAGAGGTCGAGCATGGTCCACAGATAAGACCTCCCAGACCACAGTGCCGACAGTGCTCCCAGATTCAAGGTCGGCGGTGGACATGGTACCAACGCCAAAAAGGAAAGCACTCCAGATATCAGATATATCGCACCTCCGGTGGTAAATCTGCATACATATTTCTAAGCTGAGTACGCTCGGTAAACTAAAAACTGTTGCATAAGCGTGGAAGCGAAAAACTCGCGCAAAATTGCTACATATGGCCAGGCTATGACTGTGGCTAGTCTGTCGTTAGCGTGTAATATCGGATCTCAAGTCGGATGATCGCAAAATTGGTTTCGTGTTGAAACCGTGCAATAATACCTGATAGATGCTATATTACTAAAATAAAAAGAAAGTAAAATTGTATTATTTAACATCAGAACTTTTTTTTTATTTTTGCGTGTGTGTGTGTGTGATGACAAGTAGCAGTTGGCAACGCTCGCAGCCTTTTGTCGTCTGCTGCGGCCGCGGCGGCAACTGTAGTGGCGGTCCTCCCTCAAGCATACCCGATTAAATTAGTTCGAAATTGTAACTTAATTACAGTTACAACTACATATTTCTCAAAAATTATTTAATTACAATTTGAATTACTTTGTCACAAAAAGTGGGTTATTACAATTATACGTTAAGAGTTCATTAAAACATGCTGTTTTCTTTTTAATTCAGAATTTGGTTCTTTGAAGGATTATTTACCTGGTTTCGATGATAACTTTTGTTAAGTTAAATCTTATGGCATAAATTATATATAAAGTGAAACCTTAAACAAATACATGTGCAACAAGTACAATATCGTTATAGTCAAGTAAAGAGATGATGAAACAGCTTTGGATACAAGAGAAAACAAAGTAGAAATTTCAAAAGCTTTTCTCAAAACGGAAACTTTTTTTCGCACGAAGAGCCCAATGAATGGTCTAATGCGTCCAATTAAAATCAGTTGAGATATATGGCTTGGACATTTGAATCCGTACATTCGAAAAGACGATATAATTGAAGTTATATTTTACGATGTGCAGCTCGGTCGTACTGCATTGTTGGCGGTGACGGGTTACACGCACTCGTCACTTCTTTTCTTCCCGGCAGTAACGCATAAGGTACTTACGTTGCTTACTCCGAGTAACGGCTAACGTAGTTACGTCACCCGTTACGTCTTCTTCCCAAGACTTCAAAAAAGTTTCACTTAATATTCTTCGTGATTCTAGGCTTCAATAACGTTGGGCTCCAAGTCATGTGAATTCTTGCGTTTGCCGTGTTCTTCGCCTTTTTCCTCGTAAGTATTCAGATGTAACCGTAAAATAGATAAGGTTACGTTTCTGCAATGGCATAACGTCAAAACAGTAAAAAGTTTTATTTTATGAATAAAAAATGTGACGCAAAAGTATCGTGCATTGCTTTTATCGGTAACTGTAACGCTGCGATGGAATTGCTGCGCCTTTGCGCCAAACTGCGCCACGAATGAGTCTGCTACATCTTGCGCCAGGCATTTTTCGCTAAGAATTGCGCCGCGGTACAAACGGTACAAATATGTATTTGACAGCGTCCCTATACTCATCGTGTACTTAATTTCACCTTAGGTCAGAGCACAGTCGAAGGCTTAAACACTCAAACTAAAAGACGAAGTCACGGGGCATCCTCTGTGCTTGATTAGTTGAGCACAGGGGTCTCCACACCTCCGACCCGCGGGCCAGATCCAGCCTGAGGAGGCCTTCCGAAGTTCCGACCGGCCCGAGGCCCGAGGCGCGAGGCGGGCGAGCCTTGCAGTGACGCCCGCCTCGTGGCCCACTTCCAGAGTGAAAGAAACGGCGCCGTGACGCTAACGAGGTAGAGGGGCTTAGAGCGATGAGCAGGTATCCCGTCCACCAGGCAAAAGTGGCCCCCTTTGTCTGCCGCCATGTTGTGCAATTTTGACCACTAGACACGTGACCGTACCAAATCCTGAGGCTTTTACGCAAAACTGAGTCCAAATTTGTATTGCAATTGCTGTAAAAAAAAAAAAAAAAAAGAGGATAAATTATTTTTTTTAATACTGTTAGCTCTGCAGAGATCAGTGTCTATTCGCCTCGAGATCGACCTAGAGGTGGCGCTACGGTCGCGCTATCATCATCATCAAAGCGGGGATAGGAGAATGGCCGCCCCATAGGCTCTTCACGTCGGCGCGCGAGACGGCGTAGATTCTTCCGTTTATTTTGTCGCATACTATCGGTGGGAAAACAATTCTAGCGGAAAAAGATGCAGTACTGTTCGGTGCTTCAGTGAAGATCGAATCGTGTTACCAGCGTGCGGCCCAAATTTATATAATCGCTTCTGTGGGTGCGTCGTCTGCTCTAGGCAGACTTTGGAGAGCATGGATCACCACGACTGATGCCTGTCTCCGGCTGAACTGGAATATTTATGTTAAATATTTGTTTCTTTTAAAATGGATGTATCGGTTCATCAACGTGGAAATAAAAAAAAATAAAAATAAAGTCCGACCCAGTTAACATAATACTGGTACTGTGGGCTGTGAAATCGCAGCTTCTATGCTTTTTTTAACGTCAAGCTTTTGCAGTAATATAAATATTCAGAATGAAGATAAGCTAGCGTTGTATTAGAAATTACCATGCTATTGAGTTCCTCTGCCCTTTTACTGTGCCATAGTGTGGGTAAATTTTTTGGAGTCTGAACAAATCTACTGCGTTGCGATGAGGAGTGAGTGTCTCTTCTAGTTAAAATCTGCAAACTGCACGGTTGGCAGGACAACTGAAACAAGTGAAACAAACTGTTCTAATATATCTGCCGTGACTGTAATAAACGAGTGTAACCGAGCAACGCAACAATGTTCCTGCTATTAAATGCTTTTCTCGGTAGTGTGGGTTCACCCCCTTCAATTTTCTTGGTGAGGGCCGCGGATGTCAAGAGGCTAATACTATACATTTCTGGCTAAATAATCTTGTATTCAAACACAGTAGACTCTGCAACCCCAACAAACGACGCGCACCACGACACAGACAGCATCGGCCGCAGTGATACTCTTTTACTGATGAGGGCTAGCGACCTTCACGAGACTTTCCGATCTCCCTCCGCCCTCACCTAACCTATATCGGGACTGGGCAGTTCATCGATTAACTTTTAGATTATTCAAGTAATGCTTTAATTTTAATTTTTTTTTTTGCCATTCAATTGGAGTCTAGTACTGGAGAAAGTCAGCAAGCAGTAAAATATGCCGGCTTCAATATTTTTGACGTCTTTATTTCTTTTGTGACACTAGCTTGCACGGTAAACCACTTCAGCGTGCTTGTCATTTCGCCGAGGGTGATTATACTGTTTAAATAATAACTTAAGAAATACTTTATTTTAAAAGGCTTCCCGTGATCATATTTATGTAGGACTCACAGCGTGAAGTCTAGAATGGGAATGCAATATGCCATTTGTGACATAGTAAAACCAGTACAAAATATGTAGTTTTAACGTCTTTCACGCAATATGACCGGGAAAAAATCAACGTACGGATTAATTGATTAGTCTATTTTAAGGATAGCGATTAGTCGGGTTAATTTTCTAATCAAACCACAAACCCACTCAACATTCAATGCTTTATGAAAGCCACGGTTTGTGCGAGATAACAAAAATACGTGGGACCAGCGATTGTATAAAAAACAACACACTAAGATTATGGAAGCTTCCGACTTAATAATAATCGCTTTGCTGAATTTCTACGCATGGCAAACGATACAACACAACCTTTAGTAAGAAGAAACGGCAACAAAAACATAAAGAATTTAATAAGGAATATCAAGCTCAGCCGGAAACGGGCTTGCGTCGTCGAGGTCCATGCTTCTGAGCGTGCGCCCGTAGCAGACGACGCACGGCGGTATCCCCGCTTTCGCGCGTTTCCAATTTCGGCCGCACAGTGGCGGCACGGTTCGATCTCGAGGCGAATACTCCGTTTCACCTTATGTTGTACCGCAGCGAAGGCTGGAAGCGCGAGCTCATAGCGTTGACAGCTGCCCTTACTGCACGAGAGCTCGTGCCGCCGAGATCTGCCCCAGAGCAAGGAGCTCGCGCTTACAGCCTTTCGTGCGGTACAACATAAGCTGAAACAGAGTATAGTTCCGATAAAAACCCAAAATACAGCACCGCGGCTGACGGCATGTAGCGGAGGCATTGCGAAGCTGCCCAAGTTTTTGTCGTAAAAGCACATTTTGGACTTGAAACAAGCGAAACATAACTTATCTCGTCGGTACTGTTATTAATGATCACTAAACAATCATTTGTGCGCGGTATACTTCGTTAAAATCTAGACGTAAAACTAAAAGGTAATGATAGTGGTAAAAACGTGCAACATGGGGGCGGTCTATTGGGGGTAATTTTCAGCTGCCAGTTTGTCGCTCTAAGCCCCTCTACCTCGTTGCGTGACGCGCACGAAAACGTTCGTATCCGTTCTTATTCATATCCCGCTGACAGTTCCGTGGCATTTTCACCACGAGTGTTACCAGTCATAGACTCTAAAAAAAGGGGTGTATTCTTACACCCTTTGTCCCATATAAGACACCCCAAAACTTCAGTTGGACGTGCGCACTGACGTCGATCTGACGGTGCTAATTTTCACAAGAGGCTTGATAACCGTGTGGTACCACTTCTTAAAATAGTTAATATACCATGTTACTGACTACAAAAAAAAAAAAATAATCGGGGTTTTCTTGGCTTTACTGCAAAACTTCAGTGTTTTCTTTCTGTGGTCTTTGATACGTATTTGAGCTATTTAACAAGTTATATCGCACTATTACCAAGCCCCTCTCAAAATTTGGGGCCGTCTGTTCGACTATAGTGCGCTGTACGTCGAACTAAAGTTTTTGGGGCAGGCTGAGAAGTTCTCCGGGGGGGGGGGGGGGGGGGGGGGGGGGGTGTTCTTTTCCGCGCAATTTTTTCTCCACCGGCAATTATCAGTAGTTTATTTTAGGGGGTACATTTTACAGCGTATGTACATCGCCATGTGTCCGTTGCTGTGCAAGCGTAGCCGTGTGTTCCTCGCCGGTAACACGGCGCATGCGCCGGCGAGCACAAATCTGAAAAACAAAATGCTTGTGCCAGCTGCGAAGTTGTGGGGGTAGAATCCAGGCCCCTGTGCTTCTGAAGCAGTAACCCACTCGGCCAAGAGACTTTTCTCTTTAATACATGGAAATAAAGCCTGCAGCTGCAGAATATCAGGTCAAACGCTCATTAACAAGGCAAGTAAAGGGGTATCCACACGAAGGAGAAC